AAGGGCCTGCCCGCTGGACACCCGCGTGCCGTCGGACGGGTTCCTCCGCGTGGGCCTGCAGGACTGCTGCCGGTTCCGCGAGCCGTTGCCCAAGGGGCAGCGCCGGCACGAGCAGTGGCTCCGGCACCGGCTGTCCTAGTTCGACCCGCTGGTGCCCTGGTGCAAACCGCCGTTGGGCGAGCGGACGGCCGACCGCGTGATGCAGCAGAGCGCCGACAGCAGCTCCCTCTAAGCGCTGCCGCACCGCCGGTTCTCGTTCCACAAAGACCTGGCGAAGCGCGTCGACTTCGTTTTCAAGGGCCTCGAGTAGCAGCTCCGCGCGCCGGCACCCGACTAAGACCCGAACGTCGACTGCCTCCTAGGCCGCCGCTAACACTGCCGCCGCGCCCTCTCCCCTAACGACCACTAATGCCGCCCCTGCTTATGCGACGCCAAGAACGGCTCGGACCAGTACTGCCTCCTCCTCTAACCCGTCCCCGACCTATAGGACCTCCGCCGCTAACAACGATGCGCGTTCACTCACTCGCACAGAGAACTAAAACACTGAAAAACATAGACCGCCCGTACATACTAATAACCCAAGTTACATATTTCCCCCTTGCTTCACCGTCTGTCGGTCACATCTCTTTTCGTCATACTAAGTGTACATATAGCTCGGACATAGACTGAAGGATGACACGGGTAAGTTGAAAACCAAGAAGCATAGAGGACAGGGAGGTCGCCGGTCCGGGACAGGCCCGACTGGATCTCGTCGTAGATGAGCACGGCGCCGACCTCGCGGCACCGCTTCGCCAGCGCAACCATGAACGCCTCGCTGCCGGCGTGGATGCCGCCCTCGCCCTGGATCGGCTCGACGATGACGCCGCACGTGTTCTCGTCGACGAGCGCCTCGATGCCCGCCACGTCGTTGTACGTGCCCTGCTTGAAGCCGGGCACCATGGGCGCAAACGGCTTCTGGTACTTGGGGTTGTGCGTCGCCGACAGCGCGCCCATGGTGCGCCCGTGGAAGGCCTGGTTGAAGGAGACGACGTCCGACTTGGCGCCCGACGGGTCGAGCGTGTTGCCAACCTTGCGCGCGAACTTGATGGCGGCCTCGTTGGCCTCGGTGCCCGAGTTGCAGATGAAGACCTTGGACGCCTCGTGCATGCAGCCCGCCTCGAGCGTCTTTTCGACCAGCAGCTTGGAGAGCGCGCCGGTCCAGGGGTTGTAGTACAGGTTCGAAGCGTGGACGAGCGTTTTGGCCTATGCAAATGCGTCCGTCGTCATTAGTTCGCCTTCTTCTTCAGACCCAGCATGTCACTTCTTTCGGAGGTGATTGTGTGTACGCACCTGCTGTGCGATGATGTCTGCAAACTCGGGGTCGCTGTGTCCCAGCGACGTCACCGCAATCCCCGCCGTGAAGTCGAGATACTTTCGGTTCTCAATGTCCCACAGCCACGAGCCCTCGCCCTGCACGAAGACGGGCGGCGGCCGGGCGTACGTGGCCACCATGTAGGGCGCATGGTCGTTGACGAGGGCCGCGCTGGGCGAGTCTGGCGCCGGGTCGGGGTTCGGCAGAGCTGCGTCTCGCTGCGGATGATGATGATGATGACGAGTTGTCAGCCAAGCAAACAAAAGACCGGACCAATCTTGATCGTTTCGAATATCAATTGAGCGCTGTAGAGAATTCAATTGATCAAGGCAATTGGGGAGCAAAAAGTCTCAACCCACCTTGATGGACTGCTTCGCATTCTCCGACAAACTCGCCGCCGCCCTCGTCGCAGAAAAGCACCTCTTGCCGCCCGCAGCAGACGACGAAAGCCTGCCAGCAAGCGCCACCTGCCGCGCAAGCGATACCCTCAGAGCCATTGTGTTCCCAGCCGGAAAAAGAAACCCAAATGAAATGGTAAAAGGGGGTCAATTTCAGTCCAATTCTGCCTCGTGCGCAACAGCTGGAATCGACACAAGGAGGTAGGAAGCTTCAAAGGTTGGTGGGAGAGCGATATAAATTTCCCTTTTGCGCCGCTTCACTTGGCGTTGGCTTGGAACATTTTTTATCGATAAAAGCTCCGCTACCGGTATCGCTGCTCGTGTGGGCAATTGGAGGTGCTGTGACGGCACTACTGTAGGGATCTTTTCTTTAGCTGCGAACTGAGTCATTGTCAGGGGTCTTTGAAGAGAGCGAGTCATCACCTGTCCGTGCCTTATCTGATCCTCGTCTCTACCTTACAGTACTAGGTACCTCATGTTGAATAGCGGACAAGCCTGCGATAACCGAGGCAATGAGCCCATCTCGTAACAGTCATCGTTGCTCCTTAAATCGGGCTTCTATACTACAAGTCATTATCAAGCAATCCAGCTCCAGCACGACTCACATGCCTAGACACAGCAACGTAAAACTTCTTATATGGGGTTATCATGGTAGAACCCAAAAAGTAAATACAGTCTCTACAGATACCGCCCAAGCAAAACACGCAACAGGGCCTTAGTATGCAACCGGAACGCCGCCTTGCCGAAACAGACAAGGGGATCAGGGGACAAGCAAAGGAAAAAAACAGATAATGGCATTACCAAGAGCTCCCAAGCACAGCCGTTGTATAACCCTGTCACAGCCATTCCACCGTCGTGTTCCACCTATTTCGTCCATTTCAATCCTGGGTCCATGGGTAAAATAAGATCTTCGTGCTGCTGCTTAGACGGCGCTATAGCCTCCCCGGCTACCAGCGCCCTGAACGGTATTCAGGACCCGGCGAGTCCAGTCCTTGAGGAGGTAGGGAATGTCGCGCAGGGTGTCGCCGTGGGGGAGGAGGTCCCATCCTCGCGCGCCGTAGCGGTTGTAGTTGAGCCAGGAGCCGAAAATCAGGTAGGCCGCGATGCCGAGGAACACGCTGCAAAGTGGTCATTAGTCGAGGCGTCCTGCATTTGCATCTTCGGGCGTGTGCTGCACTTACATGATGACGAACCAGGTAAAGAAGCCCCAGCTCGCGCTTTCGCTGGGCTCGTGGTCATCGTCTTTTCCACCGTCCCGCTTCTCGCACGCATACTTGGTGTACCAGGTCAGCCGCAGGACATCAAAGTCCTTTTCTTTCGCATAGTCCTCCCAGATGAGGGCCGCATCCTTGTTCTTCAGCTGGTGCTCGATGGACGAGTCCTGGCTCCCATCGTCTTCGTCCTTGCCATCCTTGTCCTTGTTGTCGTCCTTGTCCTTCTTGTCATCCTCTGCTCGTCGCTCCGCGGCCGAAGGCTTCTCGTACTCGTCCTCCGAAGCCCACTCGCCCTCGGTGCCCGTCTTGTCCGGATCGCACAGAAACTCGATGACGGCCTTTTGGGTCCTTCGCTCGGAGACGGGGCCGCTGAGAGGGTGCTTGCCGCCCTTGAGGACCAGCCGAAGGCCCTCCTTCTGGGAGTCCGAGTTGGAGTCGCTCGTCTTGAGCCTTGTCGCTTCGTATTCGAACTGCGATCCGCCGGCGTTTTCGAGCGAGCCCGCAATGGCAACGACCTTTGTGACGGAGTCCTGGTCGCCCTTGAGGAACCGGGTAATAGCGCACACTGATGATGCAAGTGGTCAGCTCGTTCGTACTGTACTAGAGACAAAAAGAGGACCGCCCTCACCTCTTGTTCCATTGGGGCACTCCTCCTTGGACTTGGCCTTGCCGCTCTTCTTCAGCGGCTGGCAAATGTCGACCGTGTACGTCGTGTTCATGTGCGCCTCGGTGCTCGACTCGAACCGCGACGTCACCACCGAGTGCGGGCCCCCGAGCGGCGACAGGTCAAAGTTGTGGCCGTCGACCCGGATCTTGTCGCAGCTCAGCATCGCCGCCGCGCTCAGCGGCGCCAGCAGGAACGACAGCAGCAGCGCTGACGACCGCGGGGGATGCATCGTGGCGAGGATGATGCAAGAAGAGAAAATAAGAAAGGTAGAGAAGATGGAGGAGAGAAGCGTGGCGACTTGGAGAAATGATATTGGCCGAGACAGAGTAGAGAGAGGGGGGAAAGAGAGAGAGAGAGAGAGACGAGAGACACACAGACGCCAAACAAAGCCAGATAGGGACGGGACGGAGAAACCAAAAGCTCGACGATCCGACGATCAACAGACGGGCGATGCAGAGGCGATGCAACGAGGCTGGTTCGGCGATTGTATGACAGGCAACAACAAGAAAAAAGAGGAAGAGAAAAGAAGCGAAAAAGTCCGCTGTGAGACAAAGGATTTCTTGTGCTCTGGCCCGGAGCCTCTTTTGGGGGGGGGATCACGTCAAGCTTGTCGCGAACGGAGAGCAGGATTGGGGGCTAAGGCCGGAAGAGCTGCTGCTGCTGCTGCTGCTGCTTGCTGGAGACTCTCTGCACAGGTCTCGTTTTCTCTTGACGTGACGTTCCGTCATTGCTTTATTACTAACCTGGAACCGAAGAGGCCGGGCCGCCACGTGACCGGAAATGGAAACATGGGGCCCGTATTCGATATTCAGGTGAAGAGACGGTGAGGCTCGTTTTGCGTTGGTGAAGAATAGGGGGTTGCCTATGTATGCTGGGTGGGGGAAACGATTCTAAATGCATTACTACTACTAGTAGTAGTAGTACTACTCGTGAAGAAATATGCCCTTTTTCTGTCGTTCAATGTCTGTTGCCTGCATCGGCTATCCCTCTGTACCGACGTCCCCTGTTGTTGTAAGAGGATGGAAGTCAGATGGAGGAGAACATGTGCCGACTTAGTAAGCCATCCAACTGCACCTTCAAGCAAGCAACGTCAAATGACAGAGCATGGCAAGGAACAAAGACGGTTCATCAACCTTGGATTGCAAAATACCACACTCAATTGCGACGTTCAATATGTTTATGTTATTCTGTCTTGACCATGCAGCAAAATTCAATTCATATGATAAACTTGTTCCTGTTATTCTGTTGCCTTTACACTATACAAGCGTCTCAACTCCATTACAGCTACTTGCCTGATAAATCCCCCCCTCCGCCCCAAACGCCAAGTTGCCGAGCGAATTCATCAGATTCATGTCCAGTCCAGAAGTCGGCAGATCTCCCATTGTTCAAGAGAAAATAGAAGAAAAGAGGTAGAGCAAAAGGAGATATAGAGAAGAAGAAAGTTGAAAGAACAACAGGGGAAAACAAACCCATCACCTCCCCCAAAGTCAGCAAACAGAACAATAGTCAAAACAACAGGGCTCATCGTGGTCCGAGCAGCCACTACCGATAACAAACAGAAGACAAGAAAAGAAAAAACAAATCATCCCTAGGGTATTGAAACACTGGCCCAAACGCGGTAATCCTGACTGGTGCCGAAATTGCAAACCGCCCTCCTAAACTCCGTTTGTGGAAAAAGAAAATGACATCAAAAATGGGTTGGGCAGCCTCCCTTTCCCGCCGAGTTCACAGCTGCCAGACTGCTTCGCGTGGTACAAAGATTGTACGTCTGTCTCCTCCGAAAGTGCTGAGACATCTTCCTCTCGTCGTCATACCTCGTTCTCTTTTCTTTTCCCGTCCGTAATCGCATTTCACATTCCCTGGTGTCCCATCATCCCGCCTTGCATCGCGGCCTGTTGTTGCTGCTGCTGGCGTTGTTGCATTCGCATCTGCTGCTGCTGCTGCCGACGCTGCATCATGTCCCTCATCATCTGTTGGGCTTGCATGAAAGCTTGCTGTTTGATTCTCTCCATTGCGTCCGGCGGTATGTTGTCGGCTCCGCCAAACTTGGCCGCTGCCGTATTCAACAGCCGGCTGTAAATGATGCGCGTCTGGTTCTGCAGCTGAGCCTGCAGGTTGGTAGGCTGTCCCTGCTGGGGACCTTGGCCCTGATGCTGAGCTTGCGCTTGCGCTTGCTGCGCCTGAGCCTGAGCCTGTGCGGCCTGCTGTGCTTGAGCCTGCGCTTGCGCCTGAGCCTGCGCTTGGGCGTGTGCCTGTGCCTGTGCCTGTGCCTGGGCTTGCTGCTGGGCCTGAGCTTGTGCCTGCTGCTGCATTTGCATGGCTACCATCGCTTGCATGTTGACATTGGCATTAGCATTGCCATTCATCATCTGGCCGTTCATCTGGCCATTCATCTGGCCATTCATCTGGCCGTTCATCTGGCCCCGCGCCATGTTGCCCATTTGGCCCATCCGAGTCATGTGCTGAATCTGGGCCTGCATCTGGGCCTGCATCTGCGGTGTCATCGAGCGTATCTGAGCGCCTTGCATTGTCTGCAGCTGTTGCGCATATTGCTGAGCCCACTGCTGGTGCTGCTGTTGCTGCTGCTGAGGGTTCATCATGCCGTTCTGCGGTTGCTGCTGTTGATGCTGTTGCTGCTGCTGTTGCTGTTGTTGCTGCTGCTGTTGCTGTTGTTGCTGCTGCTGTTGCTGCTGCTGCTGTATCAACATTTGCCGCTGCATCATCTGCATCATCTGTTGCTGCTGCTGCGGCGTCATGCCTGGGCCCTGCGAAGCAATGTTCATGTTATTAAAGTTGCCATTCTGGAGAGCCGCCGCCATTTGCTGCTGCTGCTGTTGCTGCTGCAGTATAGCTCGCTGCTGGGCCATCTGAGCCATGACTTGAGGGCTGGCCTGGTTCATGCCTGGGTTCATCATCATCTGCTGGCCCATCTGAGAGTTCTGTGCCATCATGGCCGGAGGGCTGTTCGCCTGGGTCATGCGCGGCGTTGCAATCATGGCCGGTCGGTTGATGGGAGTTGCATGGGGCATGTTTGGCGTCGCGTGAGGCATGCGTGGAGTGTTTGACGGATGGCTCTGCTGGCTGTTTCTAGAAGACATGGCGTGGGCCATGGGCACCGATACTTGCGGATTCTGCACCACAGAAGCAGACCGAGGAGGGCTTGCCGCCATGGTGGAGTTGTTTCGCTGCATGGCAGCGGCCGCCACCATGGGTGACGACATGTTCTGAGGAGTGGGTTGCCGGATGATGGGAGAGGAAGCTTGAGCCTGAGACATTTGGGCCTGGAACCGGGCCTGAGCCGGTCCATGCATGCCGTTCGCCATTGCGTTTTGCTGGACGCCGTTCGCCATGCCATTGTTGACTCCGGGATGCTGGGCGGGGTGCGCGTGCTGCGTCTGGTTTATCTGCGCCGCGTTGTTGTTTGCCTGCGCCGCGGGAGTCTGCGCTGCAGCGCGAGCGGCAATGGCCTGGCGCTGGGCTTCGGCGGCCTGGCGCAGCTGGTTCTCTCTAGCCGCCGCTGCGGCCTCGCGCCGGAGTCTCTCGGCCTCGGCTTGCCTCTGCGCAGCTTCCACCGCCTGCTGCGCCTGTTGCTGCTGCTGCTGCTGTCTCTGAAGCTGCAGCTTTCTGTCATTCTCCTGCTGCTTAAGCTTCTCCTGCTCCTTCTTTTCGTTGTGCTCCCTCTTGATGTCCTCAATGAGGTTGAAGCGCTCAAAGCGAGGCTCAAACGTAGCTGCACCGGTTGGGCCATCCCCGTCTGCTCCACCAGCACCCTGCGCGCCGGGAGCATTTGGCGCAAGCCGGTCGTCGAGAACCAGCATGTACCGCTCCATCTCTGCAGTGAATGCCTCGTCGGCGGCCATTTCGGCCACTGTCCTCTTGCGGGCCTTTGGTTGAGGCGGAGGCTCGCTGTGGCTGGGATGTGACATCTTCTCCAACAGGGCGATGGTCTCTTCCACGCTCTTGGTTGGTTCAAGCATCAGGGGTGCATTGGTCGCGAGCAATATCTGGCCTTCGGCGGCATGTAACAGGCTGGCGTCCAGTTCATTCTTTTCTCGCTTCTGCCTTTTCGCAGGCGGCGGAAGGTTGGCTGCAGTCGGTGTCGGCGGCACCAGCGCGGACGGGGTTGCTGAAGGCGCCATGGCCGAAGTGTCATTAGCACCAGGCCCCTCCCCGGGCGACTTTGGCATCGTTGCCTTGATCATGAGATCCATGCGTAAGCTCTCCGGTGTAGGGTGAAGCACTACGGTGAATATCTTTGGTTTGGGGGGGGCCTTGGTATCTGTGGCGTTGCCAGGGGCATTTGGTGTAGGCTCCTTATCCGCATCCTTCTCATCAGCGTCTGTCTCTTTAGGCTCCTCTTTCAGCTTGGCAGCCGCATCGCCGGCGTTCTGCTCCTCCTTGGGAAATGGGACGTGAGGCGAAGGTGTAAGCCATTGGTTATAGTTGTGGATGGACGAAGGCACCACGGCGTTGGAGGCTGACGAGGGTCGTTTGGTGCCCTTTGTCTGGACCACGGACTTGTGATCGTGGATCTGTACAATGAGGCATCCGTCGTAGAAGGGAACCTTGCCCTGGACAAAGTATGGGAGGAGGTCGTGGGGAATCGTGCGGCTCTTGACATGCTCAAGAAAGATCTTCATTGGCGACTTATACTGGAACATGCCATCTTGACCATCGAAGCGGAAGTGTGTCGGATGCATATGGACGACCAGAGAGGGTGGTCGCCCCGAGTTTCTCTTCAAGACGTAGGCATCGGTAACAACTATAGCAACAAAACGCCCCTGGTTAGAAGAATGCCACTATGATATGATTCTCGCACTGCGGGAGAGGAAGGGTCATGTGTTACCGTAAGGTGGGGGTTCGTAGCCATGAGCAGCCGTGTCTGCTGCGAACGAGGCCGATCGCATGCCGGCGCTGTTTCTCGAGTTGCGCCCGGGAGTCTGGTTCAGGGTGTCGCGGCGGACCCGGTTGATGGGCCGGACGGTTGAGGCCGTGATGGCCCGGTCGCTGGCCGAGCTGGGCGGCTGCTTCGCGCTGGGCGGCTTGGAGGATGCCAGGGACGGCGACGGCGAGGATGCGAGGGAGGCGGCGCCATTGGTCTGGATGCCCGGCGGCACGGGGCGCTTGATCTTGGTCGGCACAGGCGGCGGCGGCACCGCAGTGGCCGTGACTGCGGCGGTGGTGACGTTGGTCGGCGCCATCGTGACCCCGGACGCACGACGGCGCGCGTGTTGCGGCTGCTTCTCCCACGCCTGCGTTGCGTGTGTCGCGGCGTCGACGGCAAGCATCTACTTGCGCCGCAATTGCTGGTGCTGTTGGCGATGCCCGGCAGGAAGCGATGGCTGGCAGAGGCGTGATGCGATGCTCGCTCGAGTCGCGGCGCGAGATTAGTGGGCTGTGGAGACGGAATGCTTTCAGCGTGCGTGGATCCGGTCAGAGGGCCGAACGGCGGCGGCGCAAGAGCTCGAGATCAGCTGCGGTCCATGGGCAGGCGATGCTGAGGCGGAATCTGGCGGAAACGAGGGTCGGGGGTCGGTTTGGGGGTTGCCGGCGCTCAAAGGGAAGCCGTCTGAGGTGAAGCGATGGTGAGCAGACGTTGGATTTCCTTGGCTGAGGACGGAGGCTCGCGAGTCACGTGACTGCGCCTCGCTGAGCTCCGAGGCTTCAAGCCTAGGTACGGTACCTAAGCTTCGGCTTGATTGGAAGTGCGACAACCCGTCAAGAAGCTTTTCCAACAGCGATGACGGTTTTATTTTCTAAATCGGTGTTGATATGCAGATTCGGAATTACATACTGCTACCCGTTCTTGAAGGATGATCTTGCGTGACGTCTACGTTGCGGCATGAGCCCCAGAGAATGCAAAGGTTACATCCCTGATGGATGACCAAGACGAGCAGCGTTATATATGGCTTGCGCGAGACGTGAAGCAGCAGCAAGACCTCTAGAAAATGAGTACCGGATCTGAATTGCACATGTTCTTGTCTCGCAAACCGACCGCTGCGCTAAACAACACTCTAACTGTTTACCACAAATCAAACAGTAAATGTATATACAAGTAGACAAAATCAACGTCCTGGTATCTTCCCATCATTAAATGTCCTTATACATACCGTCGCGAACATCGCTCGGACAGCACTTTATTCTCGGCCCTGCACTCTACGGACCCAATCGTCATTAACGCGCACGCTGTCGACAACAATGATGCCGCGTCCGCGACCAACACGCTCGGGCTTCTGCCACCACTTTTCGGGCTTGTCGGCCTTCTCCGTCTCGGACTCGCTGTCGGCCAGGCCGCCGGATCCATCCTCGGCTCCCACAACCAGCACAATGTCGTGGCGGAACCAGGTCTGCATGTTGGCGACGTAGCCACCGTTGTCACCCGCAAGCGACTCCTGCAGGTAGATGACGTCGGGCTGCAGGTGACGCAGGATGTGAGTGTGGCCGTTGGGGGTGGTAAAGGGAAGAATCATGGTTTCCTTGTCCACCAGAGCCAAGGCGTGTGAGTACACGGCATTGAACAAGGTGTTTTCTGGCGAAGCACCGAGTCTACACAAAGGGAGCACTATCATCAGCAAAGTATCCTGGTGGACGGCTAGGACAAAGAGGACTTACACTGGGCTTTTAGCCTCGGGAGTTTGAGCTTGATCATATCCAACGTTAGAGAATGATGAGCTAACCGAAGGAGGCGGGCGATTACTCGTAGCGGCTTCACCCGTGCCGTCTTTCAAGCCCGGTGCGTAGATGAGCACGAAGAGCTTGATGGCAGACAGGTCGTTGTGCCGAGGGATATGGTTCAAGATGGACTGTTATGTCCCGGTCAGCAGCTGTTGACAAACAACATACACGGTGAAGCAGGCAAAAGGGGGAAAGGGGGTACTCACGGCATGTTCGTGAGTAATGTCGTCGTCGTCGTCCGCGAACTGGGAATCGGCAGAGATGACAATGGCGACCGTCTTGCGCTTCTTCGGCGCAGGCGCCGGTCCCTTTTCTCTGCGCACGTCTCTGTCTCTGTTCTCGGACCAAGGGTTCGTCTCGGGCTCCGGCCTGTCTTCTTCGCGGATCGAGGCCAGCGCCTTGCCGACCGCGGCTCCGGCGGCAGCGACCCCGGCGGCAACCGTCTTCCCAGTCGAGTCGAGGAAGGTCTGCGGGTTCGACGAAAAGGCGCTCGTCATTCGCGACCCCCATCCCGACGTGCCCTCGCCCATCTCGGCGCCAACCGCGTAGTTGCCGTCGCGCTGCTGCTCCGGCGGCGCCATCCTGCGCCTCTCCGCCGAGGCTCCGTACGCGGGATTCTCCCCATAGTCGGCGTGCTCATAATCCAGGTCGGGCTCGGGCTCGGCGTGGTCCTCAGCGCTCTCCTTGCGCTGGCTCCAGACCCATGCGGCGAGGCCCGCCGTGGCCACGGTCAGGGTGATGGCAAGCGGCACCCAATGGCTCCAGACGCCTCGCCGCGAGCGGGAGGAGCCGTGGTTGTCGTAAGGAGGCGACATTTAGTTGGAATAGCGTGGCATTGCTTTACAAGCCGCTCTGTGCTGTGTTGCTGCTGCGGTGCGATGCTGCCTCAAGCGCCCAATCCTAAGGGGCGATCCGCGGAGCGATGAGGGTGCTGCAGGACGGCGGCACGATGCTGGCGGACCCGGCGGTAACAGCAATTCGTCGCTGGAAGATGAGACAGGCACAATTGTGTAAGTGCTGGGTGGGGAGGGAGCAGCTGAGCCCGGCCAAGGTGAACTTAAAGGTGTGTCGCAACAAGTCGGTGGCTGGGGGTCCTTCAGCTTGCCTCATGTCAACATTGTGGAGATTCCTCCCAGCAACAGCAACGCGCCAACGCTTCCGAGGCTAGAGCTGCGGCGGTGGAGCAATTAAATCCCGCGCCACCGAGGCTGCGCGCACGTGAACGCCGCGCTGTGATTGGCCGGAGCTCGTCATCTCGTATGCACTGACACATTGCTGTGGCTGGTGACCATGCGCCACAGGTGCGCTTTTCTCTCAGCCTTGTAGGGAATAGTAGAGAGCAGAGCAGTTATGACTCTTCAAGCCCGCAAGTGGGGGATTTTGAAGATATTCACAACCCTTGTCGAATCTCACCCCAAGGCGGCGGCTGCATCTCACTTGAACCTCTCTTGACGGGGCCTTTGCGGTCATTTGCATCTTTGAATAACTCGCATCATCACATCGACATAGTAGCCCTTCCTCTGCCCGTCTGTCCGCCACAGAGGCAGACACCCCACCACGATGCCTCACGCCTTGTCGATGGCCTCAACCGGGCTTCAAGCCCTCATCCTCTGCGGGCCGGGCTCGTCATTTCCGACCTTCACCTCCAACCCCGATGAGAACCCAAAGGCGCTGCTGCCCATTGCCAACCGTCCGATGGTGTGGTACCCCATTGACTTTTGTCTCCGAACTGGCATCACAAGTAAGGAGCTTTCTCTTCTTTCTCCAGCAGCCTTTTTGGTTTGAGCTTTGGCTCGGTAGATTGCGTCCATGTTCTGCGTAACTCATATAGCATCGTTGTATCTATCCGCGGGCCTCACTGATTCTGCCTGTAACTTTGTGAAGCATGACTATGGACGTGAATGTTCTCACCGATGAGGCGATAGCTGACAACATCTAGGCATAACCCTCATCTGCCCTCCATCAGCCTCAAAAGCCCTGACAGCTGCCCTCAACACCAACCCCTATCTCACGGCCCTGCCGTTGCCACGGCCAGACGTCTTGGCCCCAGCTGACCTGGACCAAAACACGGGCACCGCCGAGATACTGCGACTTCCGGAGATCAGAGAGCTAGTAACCGGCGACTTCATCGTGCTGCCATGCGATCTCGTCTGCGAACTCGCCGGTGAGCAGCTGCTCCAGGCGTGGATGGTGAAGTCCGCAAGCCTCACCGGCCTCCTCGGGGCGAAGCAGCTTTCCAACGGCCACCAGACCAAATACAGCGGCGGTCTCGGCGTGTGGTATAACACGAAGGCCAGTGCTCCGGTCAAGGGCGAGGAGACGGACTTTATCGCCACGGCTCCTCTGCCCACCTCTTCAACCGCTCCTCCCAAGGGTTCCATCTTCCAGCATGTGTCGAAGCTGGTGTACTCCATGCCCACTGATTCCTTCAACGATCTCACCGAGGAGAGGAAAGCGATCCCGATCCGCCACGGACTGGTCAAGGCCAACCCCCGAGTCCGCATGTACACAACGCACAGAGACGCCCACATTTACATTTTCCCTCGATGGGTCCTGGATTTCATCAAGAAGAACGAGCGGATGGAGAGCATCGGCGAAGACGTCGTGGGCTGGTGGGCCAAGGCCGGATGGCAAACCGGATTGGCGGACAAGCTCTCGTTCGGCGAGGTCTGCCGCAGTGGTGACGACGACGAGGACGAGTCCGAGCTGGAAGGCCGCTCATCGCCCGCCGAGTCCGCGCCCGGGAACCAAGAAAGCTCGCGGGACGCCGTGTCGTCCATCAACATTGCCAAGGACGGGCAGTACACGGGCGATAAGAGCGGTTCAGCCGCAACGGCTTCCAAGTTCGAGCCTCCGTCCATCTTAGCCTACATCCATTCTCAAAAGGACCAACCCGCCGGCTCAATACTGCGCCGCGTCGACACCGCACAGCTGCTGCTCGCCATTTCCCTCCAGCTAGCCAAGCTTCCCTCCATCGAGGAGGATCCCGAGAACCCCTCGCCCTTTGCCCACCCCAAGAAGGTCGCGTACCCGGAAGGCGTCAAGCCCCGCACCACCATCACCAAGCAGGACAGCCTGATTGCGGAGAACGTCACCGTCGAGGAGAAGACGTCCATCAAGGAGACGGTAGTTGGCGCGGGCTGCCAGATCAACGAAGGAGCGAAGCTGTCTCAGTGCCTTCTGATGGAAGGCGTGGTTGTCGGAAAGGGATGCAAGCTCACGAGGTGTATCCTGGGCAAGCGGTGTATCATTGGCGCGGGTTCTGTTCTCACGGACTGTGAAGTACAGGAGAACCTCATTGTTGAGCCTCGCAGTAAGTGCCCTTTTACATTTCTTTTCCCTCCTTGTTCAAAATAGCATTGATGCTAATATGGTGACTTTCGTTTAGCCGAGGACAAGGACAATAAGCTCATGAGCTCTGAGGGCCTCGAGGCTACGGAGGCGGAAATGGAGGAGGTGTTGCAGGAAATGGAAGAAGAAGTTGCCGCCACGGGAGAGGATGTAGACATGGAATAGACTTGGCCAAAAGTTGAATAGAACAGAGTAAAATGATTGCATCTTGACGTGGAATCCAACTTTCACGTACTTCTTATGGGTACTGCTGGAGGATGCAATGACTGAAGCTATCAACACATCTACCACGTTCCCCATCTCACCTACCCGATAACTTTCATACCTCCTATCAAGAGCATAGGTAGCCAGACAACTACACCAAGACAACAGCAACATCTATCCTTCCTCGCCATTCTCTGCATCACACATCAATCTAGAGTCCGCTCCGTAACCTACCTACCCTACAACAAACACCACCAAAACCCCCCCAGCCAGCGAATCCTCCTCCCCTCACCTCCATCACATATCGCAAACCACTCACTGAGACATGCATCACCCTCCACCAAACGCCAGGCCACATCCCCCCCCCCCCCCCCCCCCCCCCCCCCCCCCCCCCCCCCCCCCCCCCCCCCCCAACCCCACACACCCCCCCCCACCACCCCCCCCCCCCCCCCCCCCCCCCCCCCCCCCCCCCCCCCCCCCCCCCCCCCCACAACTCCCACGAGACAATCACACCACTCTCAGACATAAATTGCCTGATTATGATTGAATTCACCTAGTCCAGCTGAAGAAAAAAGCAAAAAAACAAGGCATCTGCCTTGTCATGTTCGACATACTATTCCGACGTTGCACGCGGCGCTTATCAGATTTTTGACAATGAGCGCCATTGTTTGGGAAATCTGATATTGAACAAGAAACACTTCCTTGTTGTAGATCCTCGTTGTGTGATTGTAACGATATCTCGGGCCAATCGCGGAGGAAGCCAGAACAGATCAACTAGAAGTGAACCGTCACAAACGCTAGCATCTTTTCTCCTCACTTTTTTTTCTTGTTCTTGTTCTTGCCCCATCGGACTTTGTGTGAATAGCTTCAAGCCACGCATATCCGAAATGATCACCTGTGGGCAGTCCAGTTTCCGGCACTGCAAGGGACGCCACTGCCAAATTGAATCCTTACCATCCGTCTTATTCGCGCGTTAAAGCCGTCAAATGAGTAACTTCGACGATGACCTTGTGACCTCTTGAGTTGTTTTCCAGTTCTCCGACGACAACACACGTTATCTCATCCAGCTTGCAGCTCAAGAGCAAAATAGTTATGACGTCCACTTGATGGGTGAACCCTTGGCATAGCCACGCTCCTCACATCCCCGCTGTCTTCTCTCGGAGCCGCACGCCATGTCAGTCCAAGCAGAATCAACTTGTGGTGAAACCCTTCCTTGTCTAGGACACTGGCACATCACCTCTTCCTCCATACCAAAGTGAAGCATCTGCCATGCCAACTTGCGGGGAGAAGAGGTCGTGAAGCTACCGACGTTCCTCCCCCACCTGAGGAAACCACACCAAGATCCGAGGCAGGGGGACCCCGGAGCCTCTTTTCGAGGCGATCATTCTTTGCAGGCTCTTTCTTAGCAATGGCCGTCTGCCTCGTGCTGGGGGCTCACCCCTGAACCGACCAGTTAGCCGGCCCCGGCATGCATCTTCCCCCCTCTGCCCTGATGCTAGCAGAGCTGAACAGGGCCAGCAACGCACATTATCAAGTCTGTCAGATATCATCTCCAAACGGAGAGATAAGGTAATTTGCAACCGAGAGGAAGGGCGTGCGGTTAGATGTGCGATGATCTTGGGCGGTTACTGTCAGTCGTGTCGGTAGCAGAAGCTGGTCCGTCACTCTCCAAGAAACACACGGACAAAACAGCCGCATGCTGTTGGCGAACGACAGCAGAGAGCCAAGAGAGCTCATTCCTCCATCCATAATACCGACGAGGTGGCACCCAGATGGCCCTGTGATCCCAGTACCGTGTTCTTGGCTCCTCTGGGCGCTCTAATTCCCCCCTGGATCAGAGATTGATGACCCTTGCTCCATGCTTCCACGCTCGGACCTGATGCCCGGAATACCCTAATGGCAAATTAAGCTCCCACGATGCCCGAAGCAAATGTCCTCTGGGACCAACGACACACCATGAGGTAGTAGTGCCCCTTGGCACGGGGTTCCTAACAGGAGTAGGCCGAGCAGACAGCCAGCTTGGCATCGTAGGGGGAGAAGAATGGCCAAGTCGCCACCGTTCTAGCGGGCACACCCATACGCACCTCTCTGATATTGCCTGCCCGAGGTCGCCGAATGTGTCTGGGCCGAGGGCAACCCACCGCAAGTGGCAATGCATGATGTAAAACAGCCTCTTCTAGCCTTGACACACATGTGCTCGCGTGTCGCTCAGCAAGCTTCTGGCGGAATAGCTTTGACCACGACTCCACCACATATGTCAGGAGAATACAATAGTGCCAGTCGGAGAGACTCCGAATCACATCCGGGGACCACAGGTGATGCGTCAGGAGAGGCTGAAACTGCGTGGTTGATTCTACAGTGAATCAAGTCCCTCGTAGTGCGCTCTGAGGAGCCAATCGAGGAGGCGTGGTAAGGTAAAAGGTCTCGGTAGTGTATTGCCAGCTACCAGGTTTCCACCAGTCATGTCGAGACATTGAAGCATCCTGTAGAGACAGCGATGACAATGAGGGCGCCCTTGGTAGCGGGGCCGCATCATGGGAAACCCATCAGGGTGAATATTACAGGTTACCAGTAGAGTATGGCGGAGCAACGGGCAGAGGGACGGTCCGGCTGGTGCGTTTCGAACGGACGCAAAAGTCGGTTTCTGGAAATTCACGTTGGCGGGACGTAGGTGGGCGAACAGAGCCCAACGCGGTGGTCTATGGCCCAACAAATGGATGAGCGGACTCGACTTGGTAGCATTCCCGAAAGTAGCCCAGTACTGTAGTGTCCGCCCCCGGGGGAAGCAGCCCGGAGTGGATGCCCGTGAGCCCCAAGTTCTCCGCTATGAAGATGGCGAGGGAGCGGGACGGATCGCAAGGATAAGAGAGAGGCTCGAGCGGGGGGGAGCAAAGCGGGGGAAACAAAAGCGACCTTAATCGACGACGCTGGTCCTAACAGCAGTAGCGTGGCAGTGCTTGTCCGTGACGGTGATGCTGCTCAAACCAACGAAGCGAGAAGTGACTGTTCGCATGGCCCCGTATGCATCCAAGGTGACGTACGCCCAAATAGATGGAAATGATCAGTGGCCCGTCCATCAGCACAGACTTAGCTCTGCTGTATTTGTTTGAGTAGATGCCACCATCTCAACTGATACATCTTCAGCCAACAGCCAGAAGCTTGCTTGTATGCCTTGTCACATAGGCACAAGAGTAATCGGAGAAGAAGGACAAACACTGTCCAGCTGCGGCATGTTTTTCCCCGACATGGTTTCCCATATTGGCAGCGTTGTTGTCGAGTGTGTCCGCATCGGTCGACAGACAATAGTCCAATATGACATATCATATAATACAGGGCCCTAGCAGTATTTGGGACCTTTTGCCTCTCTTGGTTGATATCTAGATGTCCCAATGCCGAAGAGCGAGACTAACACCAAGCTGAAGCTGGGCTCGCTCTATCTTGGTATGCAGCTTCTCCAGCTTGCCTGGATCCGGCTTGGTGTGAAGGAGAGAAATGGCAATAACAGTGACCCTAGATGGATATGAGATGCGAAAAGAAGAAACATGTCTGAGAAAACATGACGAGGTCGGTAGGCGGAGAAATACGAGTCATGGCGGGTGAAAAGGAGACAACTGAACGCCTCACGATGTGATAGAATTTAAGGCTGATAATTGGATTGCAGGGTAAACCGTCACGGACTTGGGGGGATCGATATGCAAAGAGAGCTGAATCATACCCATGCAGGCAGTGGGGGCTTCGCCTGGTGGTGTTTCCGGGGCTGCGTGCCTGGCTTGCCTGGATACTCAATCTGTATAAGTGCCGCAACTGGCGATGGTTGCGAGGGCCAATCAATTGGCAGACCATCAATTCATCTCTTGGCTTGTCGGCCTGATGGTGATCCATGCGGAGGCTAGGCATATGACAGGTCGATTTCCTCCGGGGCGGGCCACCCACCATATCGACTCTGTCATGATGATGATGAGGCAAGATTTACAGAGCTTGCATGCTAAGCTCATTCCCTCATTCTTTGCCAGATTGGAGAAACGATGCAGTAGTAGATTAGCCGTCTCTTGAAAACGCATGATTGATTGTGTGCGAGCATGCTCTTGGCGGTCACACCCGTGCTGCATGACCAAGACATTCCAACACCAGACTGCATGACAGCTGTCGAATACTTTCTGAGAGGACCGAGAAACCGACAGAGTGGTCTTCCATGCTGCTGCCGTGTTACCAGTAATCGCCGGCCAACAAATTCCCGGCTCTGTGGGAGAGGGTGTAGATGTAATTTCCGGGTAGTACAAGATGATGTGCTACATCTTATGCGGCGTTCTTTTCGGCCGGTACCTGAGAGCTGGCAGTAATCTCTGAGGTTCTGGTAATGCCGCCACAACGGTGCAAGTGAAATTCGAATACAAGGTTCCATATGGCATAGGGAATAGCAGCGGGGATTCTGTCTTCGTCGGCTTGGGCTAGGCTGTCATGCGATGGTAGCTCATTGGCGAGAGTACGGCATCCAGGAACACCAAACTTGCGGGAAATTCCGCCCGGACCATACTATAACCAGTAGGTAGTATAGCGGGCCACCACTTCGCAGCAAGGCCAAACGCGGAATGCACACTCGGAATCTGAGATGGATCAGCTGCTGTTGTGTAACTCCTTCGGGGAAAGACACTATTGATCACCAGGATGGATGGATGGAGATGCAAACGACACTTCCGCGCTTGAGCCGGCGTGGAACAGGTGTGTAACTGACCGCCTCTAGGTGGTTTAGGCATCTGATGCCTTTTCTGCTAAGGCCGTCATTCTTTGGCAATGCCGCATCCGCGGGGGTGGTGTGGTGTGGCCCGGCACTGATGCTGTGTCCCGCTGGTAGGTAATCTGTGTCGCGGCTCACTTAGACGGCGCCGCCCATTAACCGCGGCCGCAAAGCGAAATGCCGTATCAAAGCGTACTTGCTACTGCACATGCTACGCCCGCTGCAGTTAGCATAGACAAGCGGTCAATGATCTGTTGCAGGACATATCAGTCCAAGCCAGCGGCGTTCAGGCGGCGCGGCGGTGGCAGTGAGTCTTGCGGGAGTTGTACCAGGCAACACTCCGGAAAGGTGGCGGGCCTTGCTCAGGCTTGAGCTACGGGCAAAGTCCCATGTCCCTGGGGAAAGTGGGAGAGCATCACTGGGTACGCCATAGCCGCCATCCCTTGGTTTGCTAGACGAAGCACGATTGCGTACCCGCCGAATGCACGTGGTGGTAGCAGCAGTATAGTACTTGTAAGCCCGCCATAATCAGCTCCGACGAGTGTTATGGCCGGCGCGGCGAATGGCAGTCGTTCAGAGTAGGGGTAACTTGCATAGCGACCGACTCGTCCTAGGGAACGTTGGCCGGATTGGACTGACAAAAGTGACAGCTCAGAGACTCAGAGTAATTCAGTTCTGGAGCGGCGCTCGCATGGCTCCTGAAGCGAACGCGTGGCTCGGTTGTGCTTCCTCCGCAGTGTTCACTCCAGACAAGGAATCAGAAACCTCCAAGGCGCTCCGTGCTCGTACGGGCGAACTGTTGCACATCTCCGTGGAACAGTTGGAAAAACCAAACGGAGCTTCCTGTCCCTGATCAGACATTGTGCCCTGAAGGGGGAATCAACGGCGTTAATGGGCTGACAGTCCACCAAGGGAACCGACGGTTTCCCTGCGTATTCCCTGGGGCATCAGCACTCGTACTCGCGCTTGGATGTACTTTGTACCCGTTGATTGACGCACATTGACTCGACAGCGGCCTCGATGTCAAACATAAGATATTACGTTGCTCAGGCCGTAAGCCAGGGAGAGGCCGTGCAGCGAATCAGCGTGGACGCGATCCCAGACAGCAGATGTCTCCCTTGAAGACGGATGGGGCGGGAGCCGATCGTCTCTGGCCTGCGAGGCCGCGAGAGACTTTATCTGCATTAGTCTGCGGTGACGGTCTTGGCTCACATGCGACCGCGCCATCTGAGGTTTCGTCGCGCTGTCCAGGATCGAAAGGCAGGGCGAGTGAGGCCTGGCGATATGAGCACTGGGCCAACGAGGAGGCGGCTGCGCATAAGGTAGGTAAGGTACAGAGTATCGGGGTGTGGTGGATAAGCCGCATCCCCGATAGCTGCATATATGCAATCCCATGCTGGGGAGCCCCGCTTAGCCGCTCCATCGCCAAGGTTCTCCCCAGATACGGAGCACGAAGCGCGAAATATGTATGTACTCACCGAGTTGCCCATGACATCACGTACTCCTTGCTCGTCCTACCATGCCGCCTTATTCCCCCGATTCTTGCGGACCACCAGTCGTCTACCGAAGCGCGACCCAGCTTGGGCAATGCAGCATGTGAAGCAGGCCTGATGAGCCGGCCTGTCAAGCTCGGCGGAAAGCTGCCCCTGACCTGTCAGTCCTTGACCTGTCAGTCCTCTGGCCGGGCGCTGCCTGGGCCCTAAGATGAATAGATCGGTTCGTCATGAGCTAATCGCCAGCCCGCTCAGGGACCCGTGGACTCTATCGCTATTAGTGGATGGATCGAGCGTGGCCGGCTTCTGAGAGGAGGCGAGAGCCGAGCAAAGAAGCTGGGGCCAACTGGTACCTGAGAGGCGACGGCGTCAAAGAGTGGCTCTGGCCTTCGGTTCTGGCCTGCGTATTCTACCCTGATGACGAGGGCTGGTTGTGTGAGACCTGCGTGACAAGCGTCAAACTCTACAGAGCCCTCCATATGTGGCCCTTTGCTGTCTTCCCTGATCTGATTCTGCTGCACGCTCTCCAGCCGTTCGTACGTCGAATGAGAGACAGGTTTGGTCTCGATATGGCGTGGCTGTCAAACTGCCGCTCAAAATCTTGGATGGACGTGTTTGCCTGGGCCCGGCAGCCCCCCAGTCCACATCCTTCAGCAGCAGTGGTTGTCGAATCACTCTTCTGAGTATCCAAGCTAGTGGCGAGGGCGCATGCCAAAGAGAGTTACGCAAAAGAAAGGAAAAGGCAGAGATGGACAACGCAGAGTCTCCAAGGTCTCCGCCTTGTCACGGCTGCTCGAAAAGAGAAGCCTGTACGGAGTACTTGCCTTCCAACTGACACACGCAGTCTGATTCTTCGACGCCCTAACTGGCAAGACCTTGACTTGAACTCTATTGGCTATCAAACTAACCTGGGCGTCCTCTTCCTGATCACTCACTGATACGGCAGTTGTCTCACTCGCTCACATACGGCGACTGAGAGAGAAATTATGGCCTATGGTGCCCACATTCCTTCACGTCTCCGTTCCACTGCAATTCCACTTGAGGCTCAGACCACTGCCGATTAGAGTGGAGTGGTTTGTGCAGAGTGTTCACCTTCATTTGGGACCATCTGGAGTCGGCACAGTGAGGGGGCAGCATCCAGTGACCGTCTCATGGGCACAGCGGAGAGAACTCTCCTCCCGCCATGTGGGTGTTAGCATGCTGTCCCTGCATCAAAGATACTCCATACCTACCTTACATCGCAAGAAGACCGTGAATACGGTCCGGGAGCACCCTATCCAACGGAGCTGCGTCGACTTTGCTAGTGCTTCGTGGCCAGGATAACCCAGGTTGATCCATCCGGCAGTACGGTGTGTAAGGTTGCGTACTGCGCACGGCAAAGCCCATACCGTACGAAGTACAAAGTACACGCATGTGCAGAGCCCTGATGGCGAGAGATCTGGCCAACCTACCATTGGTCGATCATCATGCAGAGACACCCCAGCACCCAACCGGGCACATCCGATCTTCCTAGCGAACAGGGGGGCCCTGCTAGCAGAAGAGGTACTATTGGTCTCGAGACTTTTTACAGAAGGGTGTAACAAAGTACTCCTGCTGCTCTGGAGTGCTGTTGGCGACATACTGGTCATCGCAGGCTGAGTTGCCGAGGCGTCTTCACAGAGCGATGGGACACCACCATGACTGTCCCTTTTTGCTTTTGCGCACGCTGGGATTTTGTTGGGCTGGCGCTGAACTTCTAGCCAGTCGGCTCAAGGCCTTGTACAGGTAGGTTGGCCTGTCTGTCTGGCCGTGAGATTTCATTCTTTTTGATCCCTGTATCCAGGCCGCAGAAACGGCCGGCATATCCAGTTATTGAGCCGCTGGGTCCACGTAACTACACCAGCTCTGCGCGCGTATGGATCTCATGCGCGTCCAGGTCCTATGCGGATTGCATTCATCTTTGTTCTTCCTGCTGCCGGCGCATAAGGTATTTGGCGGCCTGGTACGGTGCGTCTTCCAGCCTCCAACGGGCCCTACCTGGACCTGTCTCCCAACATCAGGAATACCTGGACAGGGCGCCCGTGCCAAGCGGTACGCCCCCCACAAGCGAGGCCACGATACACGGTCTGAGAGATTGCGCTACGCATGGCAAGATGAGCGACCATCCACACATCCATGAAGCAGTAGCTTCTGTCTGTCGTTGCTGTTCTTGAGTCTATTGCGGAAGTGGTATCGCAGCTGCCCACACAAGCTCGTTGCAGTAGCGAGTAGCTAGGGCAAATTGGACCCCCTTCCCCCTGTATCCCTTCACACACACCACCCCTACCCCCAGTCCTGTGCGGATAAGAGTCGAGGATGGCCAAAACCACTACCTACTGCAAAGTACACCGGCGATAAAAGTCCGTGATTCGCCCTCGCCTGACTCGTCCTGAACCACCCCCCCCTAGATCTCGATATCCGATCTATCGAGCTACAATATCCTTGACCTTTGCAACGCATCCACAATCTCTCTGGGCTGTCTCGGTGGCTCTCTGTAACTTACTGCCAAACCTCTTTCCCCAGGGATTGATCTGCAGGCTGGTCTGTCTCAGGCCCGCTAAGAGCATCCCCAAAGCTCATTCCAAAGGCGATGGTATATCTTCACTCGTCCCGCCCTCGACGAATATCTCAGCATTCCCGATCAGAATTCCCAATCCTCCCCCAAGTTCTTGTACGCTCGATCTATTCTTCCCTGTTGTGGTCGTTCTGCTTTGCTTGGAGTACACTCGCCACATTGAAGGGTTTTCTAACTTACACTCCTTCAACATCCAAGAGAAACACAAAGAATATCCCCTAATCGATCCATCGTCACCACATCACAACCTTGAACAACCTTGAGCTGGCTGCTTTTCACCATCATACTTTCTTTTTCCACGAGGGCAATTTGACCTCCTTCATCCAGCTCTCTACCCGCGTCTTTCGTTCTCCCTCACTCGTTTTACCTCTCCACACCTATAATTCAAAATGCAGCACGCCGAGCCGGAGTACCGATTCATGGATGATGGCCTCAGTTTGGCCATCTCATGTCCTACAACCAGCTTCTCTTCGGCTTCATCTACTTCATCTTCACCGTATGAGGTCTTTACACCCACTTCTCGTCGTTCCACGCCTAACAATCTCAGACTGGACTTTGACGGCTACCAGTCATATGGAGGCCACGGGGACCTCACACCGCCTTCGGTGCAGATGCATAAGTACATGTTTGGTCCCGTGAAAGCGGAGCACGACCGAATGTCTTTCTCTTCCACTGAAGGCACTCTTCCCCCCTCGACACCACTTAGCAGGAAAATGAGCGACGGCATGCCCTACGATCACATCCTCGACATGAACAACATGACCACACACTCACTGGGTTCCATCACGCCTTCGGGCTCTCTACCGGTTTACCATGGTGCATCTCTACAGCACTCCCCCTACAGCATTTCTCCAGCACACAGCATCTCTCCCTCCGAGATGGGAGACAATGCGTCTTCGTGGTGCAACAACAACAGCCCCATCTTTTCCTTGGGACAAAAGGTGCACTCTCCACAAGATGTCGAGGCTTTGGAGCTCGGGTACTCCCACCACTCGCCGATGAGACAGCAGTACTACCTTCACAGACTCCAGGTGACTCCCAACAGGCTGTCGGCCCAGAGGGAGGCCATGGTCCGTGAGGCGCGGCTTAAGACGACAGAGCTTCACAGCCAGATGAAGGTCCCGCGAAGGGTGCCCGAGAAGCACGACAGCTCATACGACGTGGTACGCAAGGCCATGTGCAAGTGTGACTACCCCAACTGCCAGAAGGCCTTCAGAAGGAACGAGCACCTGAAGCGTCACAAGCAAACGTGAGTATCGCCCGGCTTTCACAAGAGCAGACAGTACGACGGATTGCTAACCAAGTTGCATCAGGTTTCATGGCGAAGGTCCCAACCGATTCTCCTGCGAGTTCTGCGGCAAGGACCAGTTCAACCGTCAAGACAACCTCAACAACCACCGCAAACTACATGCTCGCCCCAACAGCCGCAACCGCGGGGTGGAATTCATCCCAGCTGCGGTGCCTGTCATTGAGCAAGAGGAGCGAAGCCGCAAGAGGCGAGCGCCTCCCAAGTCAAGACTGACGGCAGCGGGAGGGCCAGCGCCTGAGAAGCGGACAGACAGCTACTGAGGGCATCGCCTATCCCCTGCCAGCCTGAGCCGCTCAGACTGACTTGGCGTCATCTCTCGAGCCCATTCCACATCCCCGTCCATTCGTCACATCTATCAGTGGGGCCAGCCAGCCACACCCGATAGACGCCGAGGCGTCGGGAATGACTTAGGCCGTGACTGGCTTGCAGCAGAGCATCGGATGGCAGCAACAGGAATTTCCTTTTTTTCTTTCTTTCTTTTCGCACTCATGCAGTGGGCGGAATAATCCTTGCCCATGGAACCGACTTTCACTATTGGTCCGCTCTAATTGCAACATTCTGGCTTGAAGGCTGCTGCCCAAGCACACAACACTTCTTCTTTGTCTATCCTTGAACCGAAGCCCGTCGTTACGCACACTCACACGCACACACACTCGGGCGGTCAACGTCAACAAAAAAAAGATATCAACAAAAGCACCATCATTCAACATTGGCATCTACGGGAACCTACACCATTAATTTTCTTATTTCTTTTGGTGGGAGAGGAGGACATGGGATGAGGGAAGAACACCGGCGCCCTTTGTGTGGATTTTTTACAGAGGTCTTGATATCCAAGGTGGGAGAGGATGGATACGTACATGGTCATGCTTGTTTCCTTTCCTTTTTCTGTCTTCTTCCAAAGTGTTCTGAGTTGTCTTTTCTTTTGCCTCTTTTCGACCCCTGCCCCAAGGTACGCCCAGTGGCAGTTGCCGCCGGCCCCCAACTATTTCATCATCTATTATTTTCCGCCTTGTCTGGCTGCATGCATGCCTTGGCGGGCCGCCTTTCAGCTGTTGCTGCGGCCGGGAGATGATGATGCTTACGCTTTTTTTACCGATGCCAAAAGATATACGAGACGGTATTATGGCTCTTTGACGGACAACGTTAGTACGAAAGTCTCGAGGATACGCAAAACTACAAGGTGTATAATGGCATACACACTTGGCAATGTATAATATACTCTTATTATGACGAAGAGAACTTGGATCTGCATATTTACAACTTCATCTTCCTTCTGTGCTTTTGCTTTGTCTGGTTCACCGCTCTTAATGGCCCTTTACTTTGAAGTGTTGGCAATCTTCTAGATTAACTGCATGCAAGCCCACGGAATGGCAAGCCGTGGTTGGCTGGCACCCAGTACTGAGGCTGCCTGGACTAAGTTTCAAGAGTGGATGGGAATCCATGATCCACCTCCAGCATGTCGGAAATATGTGCATACAAGCATCATACAAGCAATGAGTCTAGCTCGAGCTGCCCGAAAAAAAGCGGTTCGAGGCAGGGGTGCGTTTGCGCTGCGGGCGGCGGAGATGCCCATCTCCCGTGCCAGGGCCTGTCTACTATTGTAGTAGTAGTAGTACTACTACGTTATTCCCTGCCCAGGTTTTGTCCATTCTGGAACGGGGGCGAAAAAGCAAGAGGCGGCTGAGAAACTATCTGCTCGAAAAAGGACATAGGTGGCGGGGAAGAAAGAATGGTAAAAGGTGGGTAGTAGTAGATAGAGAGACACTCTCACAGAGATAGTCCTACCTGGATAGGCAGACAGAAAAAGGAAAGAGGGCGGGGGGACAAGAAAGAGAGAGAGAGAGGCGAGAGTAAGAGAGACATTCGACACGGGATGCTTTCTTGGTGGGGAGGAGGAGAAGAGGCCGGGTGAACACGCATTCACGGAGGACTCTCGGCGACCGGTACGGCGTCTGCGACAAGACTTGTCTAGAACCTGCAGCAGCATTGCAGAAATGGCTTGTCTATTTTCTTGTTTGTTCCTTTTAGTTGTCCTCTACTATGGTTGTCCATCTCTCTTACGCATTCGCACATGGAGTGTTTTGCTGTCCTTGGAATGGGAATATGAAAGAGAGAAAGAGACAGGGAAGAGAGAGCCGATTGCAGCTGGGCTCTCACCGGTTCGACATGGGTGAGGATCGATGCCGGGATTCTTGCGCGCACTACTGCCCGTACCAGGGGGGGAAGGGGGCCCATACCTTAGGTACCTTACGCAGCAAAGCATCCATCTGATACTACCTTACTTACGGAGTAGGCACTGTATGTATGTATTGTATGTACTGCCATGGGGGGGAATTGGCAAAATGGGCCCTTTGGGTTTTGGAGCTAAAGCGTAGATCCTTGATCCCTTGCTGGGCCTTCTTTTGTACTGTTCTCGGATTCTGCCAGGGTTGTTTCCGCAGTCTTCTTTTCGTCCTAGATCTGGCCTAACTAGGCAATAATTATACTCTATACTGCTAGTACTCGTATGTGACTATATTGTTGACCAAGGGGGGGCGTGTGGGCTTTCAAGGGATGAGAGTGATTGAGGGGAGAGGCGTGCAAGGAGCGTGGGAGGAGGCCAAGGCGGCGAGCGAATGGGAGCTGTGGCAATGTCAATGTGTTGGCATGGATGGTACTTAAATCGAGGTACTATACAAGCATTTTCCTGCTGGGCACTTTTTCCTGTCTTGGATTATGAGGAGAGTGAATGAGTGTTGAGAATTGCGTCGCGCGAGTCGCTCGAGTTGCGCCTGAGGACAGTGAGTGACTCGAGCTGAGGGAGGAATGTCAAGCAGGGCGACTAGAATGACTACGGGCAGAATGAGGGGGAAAACTCAACCCAGCAGACGATTCTCTCCATCAATTCCCCCCTCGACTCTCTCTCGTGTTCGGAACTACACTTTGTAGTGGTAAATGCTAGGAACCTGGTGAAGTTGGGCATGTGAACGGAAACCTGGGAGGGTCAATTTGTCTTTGCGACCCTTTCCCCCTTCTTACATAGGGGTGCGAAAACGAAGTCCGTGAATGCATAGACGTGGCAACTATCCCAAAAGAAGAAACACGAAGCAGAAACGCTGGAATGGCTGCTTGTCGGTGGTGATGTGTCTATGCGGTTTCCACACGCATGGCAATTGTCGACCGGAAAGCAAAAAGCCCCATCCTCCTTTGCGTCCGGTAAGGCTAGTACGTCCGGCGCGCTGCTGTCATGAAAAGAAAAGCCGAACAGGGGGCAGAGAGAGAGAGAGAGAGATTGATCTTGGCTCCGATGGGTTACATGTGCACATTTTGGGCTGAGATGCTAATCCCCGTTACAGTAGATTGGACATGGATTGGGGGGCCCCTTAGCACGAGCATTAGGTGAAGCGACGCGGACGCGAGGGGGGGCGAGGCAAACGGGCGCAGCGGGAAAGATGGGGAGATGAAGGGGGAGCCCTGAGAAGAAAGGGATCATCGGTGCGTCCTTATTGAAGAGGTATTAGTGCGCAGCCTCTTCTTTATCCTACATCACGTCTCAGTTGAGCAGGGTATCAAAGGATGTGGTAACGATTCGAAAGGGCAACCACATGAGAGGGCAGATCATCGAAGCCGAAAGGCCAAACATTTCGATGTGTACAAGCGGCAATGTATCCATATGTGACCTCTCACACCTGGTAGTCTCAAACACAGGGCGCAGAAACCGACAGGGACGTTTCACGTTCTATGATGAGCATGTGTGCTTGTGCGCTGTCTACATGTGCTCAGCTGCCTTGTGTGCGTGCATATGCATGTGTGTACAACTATTTTCCAACCAACGGTCTGCGAGGGGGGTTGATGATGAATGTTTGATCAGCGCCGAACAAGGAGCCAGAAGCTTCGTCCGCGCCGGTGCCATGGTCTTGTTTGATCTGTGCGATGGCGGCAAGGCGAGGCGACGGGACGCTGCTTAGCCGGAATGTCGGGTCCGACTGTGCTTTTTTCGCCGTCTTTGTACTGCAGGAATTAACGGTAACTGGTCATAGTAGTATGTTGACCGCTGTCAGGGGTGGCCCTATGTGGACGAGAAGCTCGAGATGTGACCGTGATCGCCTTCGGTTCTCGCATTGAGTGGTTGCGACGAGTTGCCAGTAGGCAATTTGTTCGGAGCTGTCCACTAGGACCACGGCCCTCGCCGTCTCCTTTGGGCTTTGTCCAGCAACAACTGCGAAAACTGGTCGGCCTGATAGACGGCTGGAAGCGTCCGGAATGATGACCTGGCAGTTTCTTAGCGATGTTAGCTCTCTCTCTGTTGGAAAGCCCGGCTGCGTACCGTGCCGTCGGAGTGTTGGAGCTGGCCCAACGCTGGCTCCATCGTGACCTATCCGACCGCTGCCTGTTGTGTGTATGAAGCCTGAAGCCTGAAGCGTACAAGCATGTACTCCTCATGTTGTACAAAAAGTTGATTGATATGCATGGCCACGCAGACAGGCTGACTGGGATCGTGGGCTTGCCGCCGGCCCGCGTGACGCACATGGAGGCGTCCGTACCCAAGCCCCGAGCTGGGCCTGTGCCTGAGTTGTGTAACGTGGGCGATTGTCACTGCCCAGGAGATTTCCACTCTCAGCATCTCCCAGACATGCTCTGCATTGAGCCACCCGGATCATGCTGCTCCCGAGAAGAGTCGCTTAGTTGTCGCGGCAAATGAGGGTCGGCCGAGCGTCACTGGAAGCGAAGAGCAACGTCATGACGGCGGCAGCAGGACTCTGGCGGTGAGTGAGTGAGGCTGATGCGTTGTCTCAGTTGTGAAGATAGGTTGGATATACTAGTAGTATTCCTGCGACCGCGCGAACATCGTCCGGGACCTGCCACGACAACTCTGGAATAACACGCCCAAGATGTCATCTGATAACAGCTCATCAACGCACCAGCTCCATGTAATTACATGGGCTAGTCAGCTCGGCCGCCTGCCTCATGTGCGAGCGAGCTGCCCAGAGTTGCACAGGGTCCATCTCGGTAAGGAGACGAGATGAGACGCCTCTCAGCTGCTCTGTGGCTTTCCCCTGGTGCGGTGAGGTTTCGAGGTGGCATGTGCGTGAAATGGCTGTGGATTGGAGGCGACGATTGGCGGCTTTGGTGGGCTGGTGGGCTGCGGGCTAAAGTATCCGGTACCGGTGTGGCGCCCGGCGGCCGCGATCTAGCCGCTATGGAGCAAGCCACAGGCGGTACAGGGGACAAGGTGCAGGCGTTGCCTGACCGAGGTTGCGAGGCTGCGGGTTATTGGGCACCTGCATGAGGTCCGTGATGATGCGAGCTGCAGTTGGGTTTCGTACAGCTACGAGTAAGGCAGAGTCATGGTGCAGTGGATAGGCTCCAATGAGTGGGTTGATGCTGTGCCATGGGGGTCTGTTGTGCAAGGTAAATGGCATGTACTCTATAAATGGGTGCAAGAGAAGAGATACCCGCAGCTGTATGTACGAGTATGCCACCATGGCTTTAGAACGAATATAGAACCTTGACCAGCATTCGGCCAGCTCATCCTGCTGGACACACGTGAGTGCACGCACACCGGCAAAGGCACTGGCAGCTGACTGCGTCAGCTTTGAATTCCCTTTGCTGCATGTCCAATTGCATCTCATGCTCGTGATGGCAATGGCCTTCTTTTCTCACAGATGGAGTTCGATCTCGTCTTGGCGCATCTGGTCCCTGTGGAGAAGCCGAGTGCAGGCGATGCTAGCCTCAAGCAGATTAGCGCGTAACAAGTACCGTAGCAGCCGTGCGGAGTACTTCCTCTGCTGTGAACACTCGGCGTGGGACTTGGAGCCACATGCGCAGTACAAGCCCCTGCTAGCCCCCGACATCATGGCAGGTCCAGGTCCGACCCCACACTGGCTGATCTGATGGGCCGGTGATGCTGCGTTCGCACTTGCCTTGGGGGGATGCTGCCTGTGGTGCTCCTTCTTGCCTTGCTCTTGCCTCACTCTGCCATTTGCTCTCTCTTGCTCCTTCCTTGGGTTGCTGCGGAGTACCAAGGAAAGATAGGATACTACAGCATAAAGTATTCTTTGGCTTGGACTGGCGCTGCGAGTACTTGCCTGCCAGGTCACCGCTGCTGCCTCCTCACAGCCACACAGGCTCTGCCCCACGTTTTGACTCGGATCCCGAAGTCGAAGTCCGTCCTCATCAGCATCGAACCTCATCCTGCACTATCAACTTCAAGTTCCTTGCCTTATACTGCAGCATTGTACAGAGCACCGATATCGCCTGTTTGTTTTGGTTATCCAAGCGTTAGCCTGTCCATGTCCAGCGTTTCTCAGCTCCAGCTCTGCACCCCCCAGCCGCCGCTGCGCACCTGACCGCGACGCTCCGCATTGCGAATCCCGAGCCATGCATGATGTTCTTCCGTCATACTCGGAGGCCATCGCTCGACCCGACTGGCTCCAGCTTGCGGCTCCGTACGTTGCAATCGCCGACTACCCGGCTCTGTGTCGGGTCAACAGCCGCTGCTGGCGCATCTTTGCTCCTCTGCTTTGGAGAGACCCGTGTGCGTGGTCCAAGCGCCTGGGACGCAGCACAGACGATGGTGAGTCTTGACGCTTGATGCACCACGGCCGCACTGCCAGCACATGAGCGGCGCTCATCCGTCTTCCGCCAGATACCGGACCCTTTTGGAGCCGCTTTCTGCTCCAAGACGCGCAGCTGCTCTCGCCCAAGACGCGAGACTTGATCCGCGTGGTGGATGTGAGAAAGGCCGTTACAGGCAACGATCACAACCTATGGGCAGTGATTTACAGAAAGCGCTTTTACGAACTCCTCCCGCTGCTCCCAAACGTAGAGAGCCTCCTGATAGATGACTATTGCCGGATGAATGCCCGCTGCCTCGAGTATTCGGATCCGTCCCGGCCAGATCGTCGGCTGCTGATGCTCAGCCTGAAAAATACCGGCCATGGAATCAGCCGCTCCCTCACAGAATCCAGGCACCTCCGGGCGTTGATCTACTTGGATATCTCGGGTCCTGCACCTGTCGATTTCGCGTCACTAGACGAGAGATGGTTACCCAACTTGCGTATCCTCAAAATGTGCCGTAAACAGCTCTCGACTTACCGCTGGGAGACGTGGGCAGGCATTCTCAACTGGCGCCTCTGGAGTCTGGATATAAGCGATAATGAACTGACTGATCAATCCGTGCTTAATATGACAGGAATGATCGATGATTACGTCTTGCGCACAACGGACCACTTTGCCTCCGAGGGTATGCTCGAGCGATGGGACCAGCGTGGCGCTCTTGATCAGTATATTCTCCGCGAGTCACCCCTGAGCCACGTATTCCTTCCCGGCCCGAGATACCTTATAGACGCCCCCCCAATCAACAATCTGGATGGCGCTGATGACCCAGATGTATTCTGGCCTCGGGTTCGATCTGATGGCTCTACCCCAGTGCGTCCAGACACACTCGAAGGTGTCTTGGGTCTCCTGTCCCGGCCTGGCGTCTCTAATGCCACAGAACATCTGCCAGGATCCAGAGGCATCACACATTTACACATCTCAGGCAATAAATTTACTGCAGCCGGCATTCAGGAGCTGTTAATCAACTCTGAAGGTCATTTCGAACTTTTTGATTGTGAGCGGATGCTCTTTTTCCCACCGAAACGGTGGAGGTCGTTCCTAAATCCACCAAAACTCAAGGCCCCCAGGCTTTTCGTCTCCAGTGCCGTGCGAATGAGCGGTCTCCCGGGCTTGGGACATTTATTTCGTCCCGTCTATTCTTCCAATCTTCGAGTCCTGAGGATACATCACTCCCTTGTGACGAATATCCCCACGCTCACAATGGACGGCTTACGGTCTATTGAATGCGTATATCTGGCAGAAAACGGCGTCTTTCCCCATCTTCAACAAGCTTACATGCTGCCCTTTCTTCCCGATATGAACCCCCGGCTGCAATCTCTTACGTTGACTTGTGTCCCGCGCCACTCCTTTGGTCCCCTCATCTGCAGGCTGGCTTTCTTCTTCCGCATGGTGAGCCTGCAGGAAGAGGCGTTGTCTATCCTGACAAAAGGCGTCCAGGCGCAAGGGGGGCGGCCCCTGCGACTAGTGAGCGGCCTCAAGCATGTGGCGCTGGAGCTGGAACCAAGGACGGCCGAGGAGCCTCTTGACTTTGACGCCGAGAAGCTCATGGCCAGTGGCGAAGCTCCATTCAGCTTTTTCGATTCTCCTCTGACCGAGACCAGCAAGACAAAGCCCAAGAAGCCACGCATAATTGACATTTGGAGAGAAACTCCCGACCCGTCAGAGGCTCCTCCAGTCAAGCTCGTTCGCCATGACACGCCGGAAGGCCACAACACGATGAGCCCCCATCAACCAAGTAGTAGTGACCCCGAGCGCCAAACATGGTTGCTGTATTCCAACGTGACTACTACTGTCTCAGGTGTTACGCATACTTCTAACTCGGTGGTTTGGGCAGGCAATAGCTGGTCGACGAACCCCGTCATCCGGAAATACAACTATCTGGTTGTCAACTACCGCATGCAAGAAGGAGTCGGGCCAGCTACCATGCATCAAACTAGGGCTGGTGCTCCGGTGGGCTGTCTCCTTTTCCACACAGCTTGGCTCTTCGCAGCCACGCCGCAGAGCTTGGAGTTGCCACCGAATGTCGACGCGCTGAAGAAACTGGATGTGGCCGCTGAGGTGCGGCAGCGTTGGTGCCGGACACCAGAGGATTACCAGAGGGCAAAGGAACGCTTCCCTATTGATCAACTTTTCATCTGGGGCGGCAAGTTGGAAATTGTCGAACCCGAGCCGGTGGATAATGGCTGGCTCCTCTGGAAGCCGCATAATGAATATGAGCCTCCGTATGACTATGAAGGAGAATGATTCTCTTCGACGAATACTACCCCAATTAGCGATACAGGTCCGGATGAGCAACGTTTCTTCACTCCGTTCCTTATCCGTTGGTACTTCCGGCCAAATCTGGTTTTACGTTTCTGGCGGAAGCCGAGACATGCGTTGCTAACTGTTTCTCTATGACGCCACTTATTGTGCACACACCAAGTCTACGTTTATGGCTGATATACAGGGTCTTCATGAAGAAGTCTCGACGCCTTACTCGGAAGGGATCATCCAAGTCTATTTTCATGAGATTTCAATAAGTACAGGCTTAGAAGAAGGTGGAAGCAAACAGCACGGATCGAACGATCTGCACGATTGGAAGGGCCTTTTCTGATGCGGATGGCCTACGTGATGGCTGTTCGTAATGCATATTCCTGGAATCGGACGAATGAGGTTGGAGCGTATCTGCCTTATTTCTTGTCTGGGGCCGAGGTCGCCACCAGTCCGACGTTGTGTACATCTTGCGTCTTTGCGGCTAAGACAGACAGCGTTTTTCTCTGATAAGGCGGTATGAGTGCATACATATGGATGTGTATGATGATACTTTGGGTGCGGCCGAGGTTTGGAGTCTGCTTCGAGTGGTAATCGCCGATTTGCCTTTGGATGCCCAGGCGTGCTTGATGGATAATATTGAATAGAATTGTTGCACGGTTGGCCTTGGGGCTCGGGCTTTGGGACGGTGCTGCATGAGAATGGGGTATGTAGACTTGATGGCAGATGGTTTTGCTTCTGGGGCTGGCAATTGTCTTGGAAAACTTGCTGAGCCGAAGAATCGGTGAAAACAAAGCCGATGGCTTGCGTATCTTGGATCGGCTCAACTTACACTATCACCATGTAAATATGCCGTTTCTCTTGACCGTGGTTGTTTCAATTGCTGCTGATTCTAAGTTGGCTTGCCAGCTCTTGCTACCTTAGCTGGTTATGTAGGCACAAGGACAAGGCACTCGGTGAGCGTGCGCATATGCAGCAATGACAGGGGGGAGACGTCTGATTTGCTGGGCCTTGCGCAGCTGATGGTCGCCCCGTTGGCCCTGCTTGTCAATTACCTTGCCTGAAGGATGATTGGAGGCTTAACAACCTGTCGTCATTGGCCTTTTTCTGAGCTAGACCTGGATTAATGATGCATGCATGAGACGGTTTTCCATTCGATCCTGTTAGATGGGGGAGAATGGCTGGTTGGGTGTCTACTGTAATCGTTGTTTCCGCAGACCTGGAATGAAGCTAGTTCTCTACGTTGCTTTTAGCGCTTAGCCTCTTTTATATACACTTCCTGAAAGAGCGGTGGCTTTGGTGTGTTATCATTGGGTTCTGTTCCTTTTATTGGTAGGGTTGTGAACGAGCGTCTGCATGTGGTCATCGGGTTGAGTCGGAGAGGAATAGATGGATGAGACAAGGGCGAAGTTGGGGTCTGAATAGTGCTGCTTCGGCACTAGTTTGCTTTCATTAATATTAGGCTGGATGATCCCATCTTGATTGGTCTGTTATTCACCGAATTTGCAACAGTAGTTGTCAGGTTTGGTACTGGAGAGAGCTGAATGCAGCTTGCTGGAAGGGGAAAGTATCCTATTATTCAAGTAGTTGAATGCGCTTTGTGTGAGCTTGGCCAAAGGAGGAACTAGCCGGAGCCTGATGACGGTAACCTGGAGGGGAATAGAGGTAGAGCGATAGGATTGTCTATATGATATTTTGGTCGTTTCAAGTCTGTGAGTGTCTGGTGACCCGGGAGCGGTGAGAAGTAAAACATGCGGAGAGGTAATGTGTGCATTTCGAGTTGCGATGGAGTATTGCTTGACGGACACAAGATTCTAATACATGCAAGTAGCTGGTATATTGGTTGATGAGTTCAGGAACCGCTGTGCACCAAACGTTGGGAAGCTGGCATGCTGCCTGCCGATAACTGTTCCTCACATCTACAGGGTCGTGGCTCTCGAGTCTCATTGGCTGAACTCAGTTAACTGGCCTTGCGTTTAGGAATGTTCGAAAAGACGAGATTTATTTTATTTTGATTCGTTTTAGATAGAGTACTGCAAGGGCAATTGTTCGAAAACGTGAAGATTGTGCTTCCATAAACGTCCTAATGTGAGAGTGGTACTATCGTTGATATCTCCTCTGTGAATTCAAGTCTGCCTAAAGCAGGACACCGAAGGCCAATCTTTTAGGCGAAAAAGTTTGGATAGTAGGAATGAGCTCATATATTATTGATTCGACAGTACGGATGCTTGATTCGGAGTAGAAACGGGGCAACTGCCATGGCACGGTCTTCAACTTGCACCACAAACCCTCTCACCTCTCCCTGATCGACCTCCCCTTAATCACGTTGCTTAAATCTCCAACAGGAATCTGAATCGGAAAGTCCACAATCGCAAGCGAAATAGCAAACAAGATGTACCACCCAGCCAGACACGTTACAAAAGCCGAAGCCCCGGCGCCCTAGCGAGATAAAGTAAGCTTTCCCACTGCCCCTGACAAAAGGGAGGGGGTGTTTCTTTAAGAGACGTAGCTTACCACAAGGAGTTTGTGAGCATAAGAGGCATTCCCCGTAAAATCTTCTGCCATGGCCCAATATGCTCCGGTCAGGAGCCCAAAGGTAATGGTCAATGTCAAGAAGATGATGAAAAAGGCAACGTTGGTGCGGAGCGAGCAGACGAGGAAAACGAGGGACAGCAATCCCATGAACAGGAACCAGAACCCTGTGTTGCAGCATAATAAGCACTGCAATTATATAAAAAGCACAGATATTACCTCGTGAAGGGAACCTGTGCGGCGGGTATGGTACTCACCTAAGCTAGCATTGAAGCCAGTCGTCTGGAGCCCCTCGGCAGCATCGTCACCAGGCCCAGCATACGAAGAAAACGCGGCAAAGGAAGGATTCAGAACGCCGCCGTATGAGAGCCAGAACGTGCCGAAGGAGCAGAAGACGACGGCGGGGAAGCTGTTGCCGAGGATCCATTCGAGGAGGCCGCCGAGGGTCATGAGGATGCCGGCTTGGAAGAAGTAGACGGGGCTGAAGGGGCGTGGTTGCCAAAGTGATTAGCGAGTCTGTTGTCTCGTCTTTGCTTCTTGTTGTGATAAAGTTCTTGAGGAATGAGAGGGGAGGGATTGGAAAACGTACATTGTTGCTGCGCCGCCGCCGCTTGCTCCGCGCCAGCCCATGAGGTTGCAGGACAATGGCGTGAGAGCCATGAGGAAGCCAACAAGGGCACTGTTCGGTAAGTACAAACAATCAGCCAACACATCTAAAACCAATTCCACCTGGGCTTGCTTGAAGCAGAATCCAGACGTGTGTGGGGGGCAAAGTTTCATACATTGGCGTGGGATTCCCAAACGTATCCCTTAGGTGGCCCTTGACCTTGCTCTGCGGCGACAGGTACAGCTTCTCAAATAGCTCGGGTGTCATGGCGATGCTCGCCGCTGAGCGGAATCTGTTGAGGGCCTCGGCGCGGTCGGAGTCGGAGTCGATGGTGTGGTTGGCCTTTTCGTCTGCCATTGTGATGTTCCTCTTCCTGTCCAATGCGTCCTGTTCTATGCTTGGGACTCTATACAAGTTTCAAGTAGAAACAGCCCTTCTTCATTCAATAATTGCCAAGGGAATCAGAATCAATAGTAGAAGCAGAAGTAAACTGGTCTGTATCATTGGGTTCGCTAGCTATATGTAAATGGCAAGTCCCTTTGCAGAAACCCTCCGACGCCCAGCTCCTTTGTCCCGGAAGCCACGCGAGACTCCTCCTCCGACTATAAACTCCGCGCTGTCCAACCCCAGATGCCCCAAGCAGTCCCGACCAAGCTTCCTCCTCCCTAAGCCCGATGCCAGCATGCCATCTCGAGCCCCATGCTTTTGCCCCAGATCTGGTTTGGGACCGTCCACCAGGTACTAGCAAGACCAAGATAGCCCCATCATCAGGCCATCTCCACACCGACTACGAACTGGCTGCGAATCAATCAATCTCGCACAGGAGGAAATCCGGTCTCCGAAAGATCCACTCCCGTCGAACCGTCCCGTCATAAGCCGCCATTCCCCCAACAGCAAAGCATTGTTTTCCTCGAGGAGGCTTGTGATTCATTACCCCAGATTCTCCAGATCTTAGTCCAGGCAAGCTCCGCTCCCTCGGGCGAGCGGAAAACAGTGGGTATTGTGGGGGAATTGGGGAATAAGGGGGGGATGAGATGGCGGGAAGTGGATTGCTATCTAGGACCTCTTGTTCATCGTTCAGGAATTGGCTGGATTAATTATAAAGGGGTTTGTTCATATTCAAAGATTTTCTGAAGAAGCATTGGTGAATACAGTTGCGGTTATTGGCATGTTTCTGTCAATTGCCAGTTGCTGTCACCGAGTTAGGTAAGCCATAGATGCTTCCTATAAAACAGGATCTATATCCTTGCCTTGTCCTACCCCAACCCCAAGCTCGAAGCTAAAGCGCCGCTCGTACGATGACCATGCAAGCCACAAATACCGACATATTGAATCCTCTCTGCCGGCGAATTGACTCGGATCCGCGAGCTTCGTTTCTTCCGTAACAGAGCTCAACTTTGCACCACTCCGCCAACTGCACTTGGAAGTATATGCCGACACGTACAACAAGCCGAATTGCAACTTTCTCGCTGAACTCTGATTCGCCATGTATGCCTCTCTCTTTTTACTTCTTGGCCCACTGCGTTGCGTACCATTGAATCGAATGTGGATGTTCGGCAATGGACATCCAGAAAAGTCCTCCGCAACCAGTGCTTGAAATAGGTCAGTGTTTCCGCCAGGGTGACGCCAGGCATTTCTCTGGTCTTCCCCTCCTTTGGCGCCGTCTTCCTGGCCTTGTTCTCTCTCTGACATCCCTTTTTCCTGATCTTTCCCTCTTTTGAGTGTGGCCTGAAGGGTATACTTCCTAATCATCCTCGTCGGAGATGACAGCACATATCTTGACACACACGTGTCCTCATTCTTCTGGATACACGCTCTTTGTTCCCAGTATATCATCGTCCTGTAGTCTCTGCAGCCTCTCTCTCTTTGTGTCGTAGCCTTCCCATCGCAATAGAAGAGGGAACAAGCAGTTGCACAACGAATTCTCTTTTGGCTATTTCGTCATCGCTCCTTTGTAAGCAATTGGGAGACACACGGATGGACATATCGCAACCATAGCCACATCGGACTAATAGCAAACCACTAGGTCTACGCTGTTGCTTCTGAGCATTTCCCCATGGTACCTTGTTAGGAACCATTTGTTATAAGTAATCCTCCCACAAAGCCAGATAAAAGATTGTCTCACAGCTATGGACTTGAATAACGTCCATATGGAAAGCATGTTGGGCCTCAAGTGTAAATACCAGCAACAAGTCAAGAAGCCATACAACTAACCTCGACCAAGCTCTTCTAGCTGTGTCCCGACAAAACAGAACTACATCATCGAGACCATCTCATTCCACGCAATCAATCCACAACCAGACAAGCCTTCCACATATTCACCCAGTCAAGATATCATGTAAAATTCCAATGCAGATATCATTTATAAAAGGTCTACCTCGGCAGCCCCCTCTCCCGCCGTCCAAACACCCTCCCAAAATCCCTCTCCCTCACCCTACGCCGTAACCCGCGCCACCACCGCGGCGGAGGCCCCTGTTCAATCGCAAAAGGATCCGCCCAAACAACCATCTTGAACATGAACCCTTCCACCGCCCGCCGCCAGAAGCTCATCCCAGGTCTCGACCGTCGCCACATCTTCCACTCGTAAAACACAATCGTGTGTCCGAGGCAGGAAAACAGTGCATGAAGCCTTTTGATTCCCCACAAGTTAGTACTACGCAATAACACAACCCCCCGACAGAATCTCTTGTTAAGGGGCAGGGATACAGATGGATGGGACTTACAGTAGCCACGCAATGAGCAGTATCGCTGCTGCCGCTGCATTCGGGGACACGGGAAAGCTGCCGTCCTCCAGAGCCTCATCGATGGGAGCATCCTCCGAGGCTGCCGCTTCCATGGGGATGCTGGGATCGGGAGACGCTGCCCGAACAACGTAATACAGCATCCCCGCCAGCACCGTCAGACGGTTCACCTCCATCAGCAGCGGCAGCTGGTACACCTTCCCCCCTCTGGACCTCAGAAACCCAAAGACGAACGCGAAAGCAGTGGCGAGGAAAAGAACCTATTCAGCGCCCGTCACCCATTAGCCCCCTGTGTCTACAGTCTGTCGAAGAGCAAAAAGGGGCAACATAGAGGGGGAAGACTCACGAAAACATCCTCCTTGACAGCCTCAACCATGCCAAAGAACCCAAAACACAGCGCGCCGAGAACGCACAAGAGCACCCACTGCACCGCCGCCGTCCACCAATGATCCCACAACGCCCGCGCGTGCTCTCTGCGGCACCTCCCCTGGTGGAACTCGACCCCGTCCCACCCCGGCGCCAGGGCTTCCGCGCCTCCGCACCAGCGACACACCCAGAGCTCCTCGCCGCTCACCAGCTCGTACCGCCGGCCGACGTCGAGCCCCGCCGGAGACTTGTCCACGCAGTCGAGGCAGCGGGAGGCGAGCGGGAAGCGCGGGTCCGTCGGGTCGCCCCGGAGGAGCAAGCCAGGCTCCTTGTGCGCCAGGCAGACGTAGCACGTCGTGCTCGGCGCTGGCTCGGGGGGTGGAGTCGGGGACGGGGTCGGGAGACCGCCGGTGATGGTGATGGTCGTGGGGGCGAGGCTGCCGCCGCTGCTGCTGCTGCTGTTGGCCTGGCTGCTCCCGGGCAGCTCCGGGATGGGGGCGAGGGGACGAGGGCGGAATGAGCGGCCCATGGGCCGGAAGGGGCTGTGGCATCGCACGACGATGGGTGCGAGGTCGGACATTTCGTGCCCTTGTCCGGTTTCTTGGAGGGCGGCCATGGTGAGGGAGAGGCGAGAGGCAGACTTGGAGAAGCGAGAGGAGGAGAGAGGCAGGAAAGAAGTCAGATTGCGAATCACAGTTGATGTGATGGTTGTGATAGCAATGACTGTGAAGATTGTTTTATGATGGAAAACGAAAGATGGGATCTTGAGATCTTGACAGGGGGAATTGACGGAATATATAGACATTTCCATTGCCCTGGAGAGCATTGTTCGGACCTTTTCTCTGTCGGCCATGTCCCATTGCAGTTACAAGGGACAGTGGCTGGTAAGTTTACCTTCGCGAAGGAAACTTTGGCTCTCGTTTAGGGACTCGGCAATCGTAGATCTCTCTACTTTGGGAGTCATCGGCGTCAACTTAGAAATTAAGCTTAACTGATGCTGAGCCATCGCCGCCTTGGTGGAAAACATGGTGCCACCGCTTCTGGTATATGCCGAAAACAACCCATCATTGTACTCTAGTGTCCCCGTTTTTCAGCTCTTTCTTATACCGACCGAAGAAGTAAGGTTGCCGGATACATTGATCTGCACTCACGGCACGGTGTTGATGCAAGTTATCATCGCTTCATCAGTCTAGCACCTCACAACCCACACACCCAGGACATGCCGCTTGAACAAAAGCGAACATCCAATTCATAAGCCACAATCTCATCACCTTAGCGGCAATGCTCCGTGGAACAGAGGTCCAGAGCGAACCCCGACATACCCTCCCATCCTTCCAATTCTCTTCCTTGTCAAGAGCTCGTTTAGCTCCTTCACAAGACAACTTGCCGCCACCACTCTGAAGCTTTCGAGCGGCTTCTGATCCCCCATGTACCTCTTGCCATTGACCGCTTCACTGCCAACAATTACGCAAGCCCAGCAGAGCTCCACAGCATTCATCATCTCTTTCTCGCTCTGTCTGTCCTCGTCAGTCGCCGTTGACGCCGCGTCGTCCGTAGTGCCGTTGGCGCCTCCGCCACGATCCCGCATTTGCTTCACATAGAAACTCATGACTTTGTCCATTTCTTCCTTCAACTTGATAGACGAATCTCGTTGGCGCCTCGTCTGACTGCCTCGGGGATTGAGAATCGACCCGCAAAAAGCTTCCACTTCCTTGATCGGGGCCCGAGGGCTATCTGAAAATTGGTACATGTTGTTGGCGACTTCTCCCTCGTACCTGCGATATCCGAGTTAGCCGTGTGACATCATGAGTTCCTGGCTACACTGGAGTCTTACAGTTCACGAAGCTTCCATGCATCGTCAATCCGGCGAGTGTAGTCAATATCTGAAGGCGCATATCCTTCCTCTTTGAGGGCAACGCGGACATGCCTGACCAAACTGTCCCATACGGACGGACCACTCTTGTCAATCGGGCGTTGTACGTCTTCTCTCCAGATCTTCTTCTCGTCCACACCACGATACAATTCGCCCAGTATCTTAGGCGACCTGTAATATCTATGCTTGCTCATACCCATTCCGTCTTCGTCATCATCTTCGTCAGAATCGGGATCTCCGATATGGTCGACTTCGTCACGATCATACAAATGGGTAGGAGGAGCGGACGCCATGCTGTGTAGAGAAGAAATAGGTTAGCGGCGTAGCTTTCACGAGTTGGACAAAAGAATGAAGAAAGTTAGACTTACAAATCCGGTCGTATGCGTGGTGCTTTGGGCAGTTCCAACAATTTCACTGGGATTCCCGTCTTGGAGTAGTCGACCGCGGTGGAGTGTAGCTCGGCGAGCTTGATGCATTGCTCATGAACAGTACCCTCTTCCTTGACGTCTGCAATAATCTGGTGTCGGTTGGCAATCACGCCCAGAATATCAGTCTCCATGAATCTGACAAAGAAGTCCGCAATGTCGTCTCGCGTCACCGCTCGGTCTAGCGAGGGCGGGCTGACTCTCGGGTATGAGGCTGCTTCAAAAAACTGCTTGGGGATGACGTATGGGTCCCAGAAGACACTGTACAAATCGCCGTCAAGATCTCCTCCACTCAGCTGGCTCGGTAAATCACGCGTCCCCTTTTGGCTAAAGACCACACAGTTCTTCAAGTCGCGGAGCGGATGCCCTTGCGGGGGTGTCCGCATCTGAGCTGGCTGAATGTCTCCGGGGTGGAGAGCCGGTGAGCGGGTTACGAGCACAAATCCGTCCCTGAGAGATTGTTTGACTCGACCGTGGATCTTATCATATTGCTGATCAAAGGTGACGTAAATCTCGCCCTCTTCGAGGAACCCCGTTTCGTCCATGATGCCAAAGAGAACGACACCCTGGTCCACCGGAATCCGTGCCTTGTACTTCAGCAGCCGCAACTCCTCCAGGATGGTGTGGTCTACGACCGTCTTCATAAAGTTATCTCGCCGGTAGTCGACGCCGATCTTGTTCAGGTATTTGATGAGTTTGGGAAGGCCCACCGTGGTGCCCACCAGCTGATACTCCAGGAACGTGCTGGTGTTTGTTGCCGTGGCGGTTACGTTTCGAAGTATGTCGAGGGCCTTGTTCTGCTGATCAATGAACCACTCGGCATTTGTTCCCATGTCTTCCAAGATCTTGATTGTTTGTCGATTCAGGACAAGGCGCAACGGCTTCGAGGCCATGTCACAAATTCCCAACATGGTCTGATCGTTGCTCGGGAATTTCATCATGGACTCTTTCCGAATGCAGACGACTTTACCTTTCAGCCTGGAGTCAAGTGAAAGCATTCCCTTTATGCCTGCGAGGCGAACCTGGAGGCAAGTGGGAGCCGAAGTTGTGGGCAGATGGTCCCAAATCTCCTCTATGGCGTCCCAAGAGATTGTGCCAACCCCGTCGCTGAAGACTCGGCTTCCGTCCTTTGTCTTGACGTCGGGGATGTACTTGATTCCGATGCCGCATTTGAGGATATCGACTGCGTAGGGCGTTTCGGAAAAGGCCTGCCCAATACGTGCGGCACATTTGGCTGGGATGCGGATCTCGCTAAAATCACCCAACGACTTGATGATGGAGTCATTGTTGTGGAGCTCCATGTTGTCGTTGAATGGCGCACAAAACCAGGCCGAATGGGAGCGAAGAGAGGAGTGAGAAAAGCCCAGGAAGTCATACTTTCGGCCGGCAATCTGAATGCCGTCCTTGAGGACTTTCCTGTATCTTTCAAAAATGGCCGAGTTGTTGACGCTTGGGAACAAGGCCAGATCCTGGCCGTCTTCGTCGCTAAAGATGACTCGGACAAAATAATCGGCATGACGTGGAAACATGCGCAGGACCCTATTCTTGCTCTCGGCGTCAGGCCCATGCAGCATAATGCGAGTTGGCGTGACTATGGCCTTCAGCACCCATGTCTGTGAATCGGGGATTGGTGGACCGTAAGGCGTGGCCCGGGTCGGATCCTCTTCTCGACGCAATTGCTCAGTTTCTACAATGCTGGCGACCAAATGCTCGGGAGAGAGGTCTTGAGAGTCTGTTCCAGGACACGGATATGGAATCTTCTGAAATAGTGTTTTCATCGAATCAGCGGTGAAAGGAAGTAAAACGTTTGATCTCTTGCAGTCCTTGGCGAATCTGTCCATGACTTCTAGCATCTTGAGCGCTGTCGCCGGATGCAAGTAGTTGTTCCACACCAAACCCTGCAGCTGAAACAGCACAACAAACGGGAGGAGTCGAGTTCTCGAAACGCTGGCGGAGCGGATTGACCCTTCAAAAGTGGTCATACAGGTAGAATAGTCCTCCTCATGGGGCCGAGGGTTCCGTCGCACGGGCAGTTGCTGCCTTGTGACAGCAATGATATCGCGAGACCTCAGACTTTCAAGAACTTCCACATACTGCGAGGAAAGCGTTATGCGGTAGACCAAGCAGTGAGCCACGTACTTGGCGTGAGCAGGCCACATGCCCAGCGCTGTTTGTCTCATCCACTTCGTGAACGAGGGCTTTATGAATGGTGAAGGTGAAGGAATATCTAGTGCTTTGACGTAGAATCTGGGCGGCTCGGTCAGAACGAGGGTCATTGATACACCAGACGCATCAGCCACTAAATCCTGGATGATGTCGTAAGGGATATCAACGCGGTGTTCATCTTGGTCTATGAACTTAAGCATCAGAGCATGGCGACCAAACCTAGCTGTGCCTCTGAGATCCAGGCTGCATTGTTCGATGAATATCAGGTCGTCGGAGCCCTGGTCAAACATATTCTTGCCGCATGCGATGTGACGAACGTTGGTGCTGATGGGATCGGCTTTTGGATTGCGGTCGACGACAACTGGCTTTCGCTCAACTGTCCTCCGTTCGTCTTTTTGGATTTTGAGGTGAAGGAGAATACCTTCGTCAATTTTTCTAGTGCTTTTGCTGACATAAATAGGTGTCTTGAGGATTTGCAGTCGTGCCATATCCTTTGTCCGAGGCCGAAACCGGCCATTGGGAACCGGAGGGCTCCAGGGTTGCGTCGGAAGCATGGTAACCTTTTCATGCTTCTGGAGGAACCTCTTTCCATCCGCCTCGTTAAGGAAGGTGATCCAGGCAAAGGTTCTTCTCGAGGGCTTCTCGCAATACCAGTCGAGAATGCCCAGGGCTTTGACGTGCGGCTCAAGCTCATCCCAGAGCTTGTCGTCCGTCAAGCCCTTGGGAACATTGTTCAGATGTACTTCCATGGCGGTCTTCTTGCTGGCGGCTCATTCCGCAGCATCAGAAAAAGACGAGGGAGAAAAGGCAAGCTGCCACGGCGCCTCGAGGCTGATATACTACCCCTCATCCGTGTATGCCGCGAGCTCACATAAAAGGCAACCGAGCTAACGCACAGCTAAGGCGGGTGGCCGACGGGAGCTTGCGCAGCGTGAGGTAGGCGAAGACAGGGGGTTCGCATTCGATTCGCAAATCCGTGAAGCGTGATGGAGCTGGTGAGGGGGGAGATCAGGGCTCAGTGGTGGATATCAAAGCACTCACCCCTCCCGTTTGCTCCACCACGGTGCATCGCTGGCGCCTTGCCAGCAGCTTGATGCATGCAAGAGGCCGCTGAGGGTTGCACGGGGCATGGCAAACGGAGCGTATCTCTGATGGATGCCTGGGCAGGGGGAGCAAAGAGTGAGCCCACGATGGCCGAATTGCTGGATGGTGGGTGGCCCGGAGTGATGGTGATATGAACGGCGAGAATTGATTGGAGAGAGCTGTGCCACTCCGTATGTCGAGGTGACCGGTGATTGACTGATAAGAAGAGGGATGACAAGAGAGAAGAGAGACATTCATTGGTGACACAATTTGACGTTTGCTGTGGTGTTGCATCCCAAGGCGTGGGCACGTGAAGGGCGATTGGAAGAGGAATAAGCCCCCACCCTTTGCACGACCGCGCCTTCCCAAGGGGTCGTATCTTATCTGAGAACCGCCATCAAGATTGACAGACACAATTACCTGAAGATGTTCATGAACTAGACCACCTGGGCATGAATGAAGCAGTGTCAAAGAGAGAATGCCCTGGCTAAGCTTGTTTGGTCAGCAATTTGTTAACTCCCCGCTCAGCTCCCGGCCACGTCTTCCGGCCCACGTGGGGCAGCTCACAGCTCCGTCCCCAATTGCCGAGCCATCGCGGGGTTTATGAGAGCGAGGCAAACGTTTATCCGGACCTCATCTCACGGCGACGATATAAACTCTCCCTCATGCTCATCCATTTTCTACTCAATCTCTTAATCTTTGTCTCCTACTAGCACAGAAGAAAGAACGTTAGAAATAAATAAATCACTTCTAAAGATCTCTCACAATGGCCACTCCAGGAAACCTCTACGTCACCATGCAGCCGCATCCCGGCCTCTCCCTCGACCAGTTCCACGAATGGTATAACAACGAACACGGCCCAACACGCCTGCGCATCCCCCAAATCTTCACAAACGGCCTCCGCTACCGCGCAACAGATGGAAAGACTCCAGAATATCTCGCCGCATACGACGTCACCGACATGGCGCTCCTCGAGACCGAGACGTACTTGACACTGCGTGCCAACCGCTCGCCCAGAGAAGCCGCTACGATCGGACAAGTCGACGTCGCGCGGTACTTCTACGATCTCGTCCACGTCACGGAATCCCCTCTCTTCATGCCCATAGAGAAGTTGTCAGACGAGGAAGCCAGCGGCCTCGTGGCCATCACCACCGAAGTCACCCTCAAGGACCACCCCGACGCAAGCGCCCTCTTCGAGAAGTGGTTCGTCGAGGAGCACGTCGGCTTCCTGTCCAAGGTCCCCGGTTGGCTGCGGAGCCGCCTCTTCAAAACGTCCAGCCTCGAGCCAAACCAGCCCACAAAGTACCTCTCCTTCCACGACTTCGCCAAGGACAACGGCCTCGCTGCCGCAGAGCAAAAAGCCGCCACCGACAGCTCCTGGAAAAACGACGACTTTGACAAGTCCGTCGCGTCCAGGAATAGACGCACGTACTCCCTCTTCTACACATTCGGCCCAGCTCCGCGCGACCTCGATCCGTTGTCAAGGCTCCCAGAATCCGCATCATTCACTTCCGCCGACGGCAAAACATCCACCATCGCCGGTCCGAATCCCACCATCTCCTCCTTCATTACCACTCAAGACTCCCTCGCCATTCCCTACCGTCTCGAAGGGAACTCCTCCCCCGACGCTCCCACAGTCGCATTCTGCAACTCCCTCCTCACATCCCTCCACATGTGGGACGCCTTCATCGCCATCCTCAAGACGCACCGCCCCCATCTCCGCATCCTCCGCTACGACACCCGCGGCCGCCACGCCATCCCCCAGCCCCCCGTATCAGCAACCCTCGACACCCTCGCAGACGACCTCCTCACCATCCTCGACGCCCTCCGCATCCCCAAACTGGACACCCTCGTAGGCGTATCCATGGGCGGCGCCACGGCCCTCAAATTTGCCCTCAAATACCCCTCCCGCCTATCCAAACTCATCGCATGCGACTTCAACGCCGCGTCCTCCCCCTCAAACACCCAGGCATGGAAAGACCGCGTCGCCATCGCCGAGCAAGACTCCGGCAACGGCATCAAAACCCTCGCCGACCAGACCGTCGCCCGCTGGTTCCACCCGTCTTCCATGGAGAACCCCGACCTCGTCCGCACCATGACTGACATGGTCGCCGCCAACAACGTCGAGGGCTTCAAACACAGCTGCACAGCGCTCTCCGACTACGACATGAAGCCTGACATGCCTGCGTGTTCTGTATCAGGCCTGTTCGTTGTGGGAGAGGGCGATGCAAAGGGCGCCCTGGTCAAAGCAATGGACGGCTTCAAGGGCCTCCTCGGACCAAGCGGGACTCAGCTCAAAACTGTTCCCAACACGGGGCATTTGCCCATGTTTGAGGACCCGCAGGCATTTTGGGAAGTTGTTCAAGACTTCATATAAATCAATGTACGTGGTACATGTAGAATTGGGCAAATAGATGGTAGAGAATGTTTTGCGGCACTTGGCATGTATCGTGAGCCAAACAACTAAAATATGAAATCCAATACTTTAACAATAATAACCGTCCAATTGAGGGTAACTATAAAGTCAATACACTATTGTACAGTCCGCATCTACTTGCAGACCACCGTGCCAGAACAAAAAGCAGCCTTCGAGTTGGCATCCAGCCCGCGCCTCGTCCCACAATCCGTCCTTGAACACAAACCGTCCTCGAACACAAATCATCCAGCTCATAACCATCATAACCTCATTTTTTTACACAGCACGTAGCTTCCTTTACTCCCAGAATTTTCCCTTACAATCGCCTCCATTCCATCTCAAAGGTAAACTCAAACCAGTTTTCTGGGTCGCCAAAGATGAACGGCACATTGGCCGCCACCACGCTCGAAGTCACCGGCAGCGGCATCTGGAACCTGCGGCGACGCACCTGTCGTCGGTGTTGGCGCAGCGCATGAGACTCGCAGAGCAAACGCTTGTTGTGACCCTTTGGGGCCGGCGGCGTAGGTGGCGCTGAGAGCGACACTGGCGGGACAATAGTCGTCTCACATGCCAGCACGCCAAATCGCACCTTTTCGGGGTGACTGTGGCAGCTAAGCCGGCTGGCCTTGGAGTAGCGGATGAAGTGATCCTGGAGCCAGGCTTGTAAGTGGAGGAACTCTGGCTTAATGTTCCAGTTCTTGTCGTCTGCTTCGTAGTATGTGCGGGGGCCGCATTTGTACTTGCGAGAGGAGCCGCTCTCTGCCCATGTGTAAGTGGCCACGAATCATTACAGTGATACTTGGTTAAAAGCAAACTCACCAGAAGTAGCCCCATCAGGCGTAGCCTTGCGTACAAGCAGGTAGTCCACGAAATAAAACTCCTCCAGGTTGGGCAAGTGCCTGGACAGAAACTGGTACAGGTGCCTGGGATAGGCAATGCTCTCCTCCGCCTCATGAACAAGCCCGCATTGCCAGCACGTCAGAGCGTCCTTCTTATGCCACCGGTGGCAGTACCGCATAGCCACCCGCCGGATGTCAACCAGGTTGCGGCAGTTGGGGTTGATGTCGTAGTTGCCTCGGCATTCAAAGAGCTCAGGCGAGAGATACTCAAGAAACAAGATATCGCTCGAGCCGGGAACGGCCAGCAGCGTGCTGTTGCTCATGCGGACGGCACCATCCTTGTCCAAGAGGCGGTCCACCAGGTCGCGGGACTCTCCGCAAGTCATGCTGAGCATCCTGAGCTGCTTGTTGAGGTCGTGAAAAATGGAAAAGTCGGCCTTTGGGTCTGCAACCGACGGGACGAGGCGCATAGCTATCAGCCTCTTAGGCTTGGTCTCGTTCTTGACCTCCACAGCTACCTCGTCAATCTCGTCGTGCTCGCTGGGGTCCAGTTCGGCAAGATTCCCTGGAAAGCGTCTGGTAGACAGCCATCGCCAGTTTCGGCCAACACACTCAAGCTTGACGAAGCTCATTCCAGGCGTGGAAAAGCTGGCAGTCCATATCTGCAGCCGGAGCTCAGGCGGGAGGTGGTTGAAAAGTGGAAAGACCTGGCACTCCTTTGGGATCTCGAATTTGATGGGAGAGGAGGCCATGACGAGCAGTGATTTGCACAGTATGGCAATAGAATTAGGGTACGAGGAGGTGAGAAACCGGCTGGAGCAAAGCCAAAGAATGCGAGAGGGTAGAAGAGTCGATGACGGTTGTCCGCGTGATGGGCGGAAGAGGTGAGTAACTTAGGTTGCGTCGTGGGTTAGACAATTGGTACAAGCGTGTCCAGCGAGTCGTGAGAGACTGATTTCTTGGGCAGAGAGTATGGATAAGATAGTTTGCCAGTCAATGACGTGCTAAGAGCGGCTTGTGCCTCTGCTGAAGAAGAATCGCGAAACGAGAGTGAAGATGTTTGAAACGATCGAAGATACTGATGGGAACAAGAGAGAGAGGAGAGGAGAGGACAGAGGAGGAGATGCGGACACCAGACGTTATATATGGCCAAGGGGAGGGAGAGAACAACAGAGGCGGAAGTTAAACGTCGTTAAGCTTCGAGGCGCACAGATGGTCGTGTCTTGTAAATCCGGTACACCGCTGGGCTACAGAAGCTGCAAGAGGTACTTGGCCCGGTGGTACCTGCGTCTTGTTTGTCATCTCCCGTAGCGGGACATGCCGCCCAAATGACAGGTCCAAAGGGAAAGTGCCTGAGAACCTTCACGGGGAGGTTTGAAGGCCCATGTCGTTCTCTGCTGTATTGCAGGGCATGCAGGCTCCCAAGGTCGATCACGAACGTCTCCAAGGCCATGCATGATTGTGTGGTCTGTATGTACGTCCCTCTCTCCGGTTGACGCGAAATGGCCGACAATGGACTCTAACAGCCTGGAAAGCATGTACTCCCTTATCAACCAGTTATACGTTCAGGTATGGGTTAGGAGAGCTACTAACCTGTTTGTGGCGGTCTTGATGGCCTGAGTCACTGCCACGAAACTTTCATGCCGAGTACATGTGGTTTGATTTTGGGCTGCTGCTTCATGTTCACCGGGCAACCAGCAGTTGCGGCGACATTCAAACTCCAGTGCACTTTCATCCATGATACAAAGTGCATTGAACGATATCACTTGTAGTAGGCGAACAGTAACGGCAAGTGGATATTGATGTCTCCGGAGACGTGTTAAGCTTCAAGTCAAGGCGTTTTATGACATGGCATGTCTGTGCCTATTAGAGATGAGACAATTCTTGTGTCCCTTGACTGGAGAGAGGAGTTCAATAACGGATGGAAGAGCTGTTAGAGTTGTGTTCGTTTATGAACGCCTTACAGACAACCTCTCGGGAGCTGATTGAGATGATATTATGCTCGATGCTAATTCTCGCTACTTATATTCAGACGATAAGAGCTCGTTCCACAAGAAATTTCTGTATTCTCATCAAAAGCAGAAAGAGTCTGGTCACGCCTGTTTCCTGTACTAGTATTCGGTTGTAAGATGTCATACAAAAGGATGAACATAAGGGGAGAAATGGATAATTCGCGTCGAGAAACAAGGATGCTCAGGGTTCCGTATGAACAAAGAATTCAAATGGAACAACGATTACTCCTTAAGTATTGACTAATCAATCGATGAGTAGCGACATCTGTCACATCTGTATAAGAATTTCTACCGTTGCAGCGTCTACCGTAGACACAAGGCGATACCAGGGCTTATCGTAGCAACTCTCAATTATGGAACACGACCAACGAAAGCGCTCGGAATTTGGAGAGATATTTTTGCTCTCAAATTCCATGCAATTGGTGCCAATCGCGCAAGTGCAAATCGTCTAAAAGGACCCCTGCCGGTACGATATCCTACCAACATGAACTGAGCGCTCACGGATAAACTGTCTGAGGAAGGGCCGCATGTGAGAGAAAAGGCTTAGTAATGCCCGCAAAAGTACCTTGGGTATCTTACTGCTCAGGCACTTAAAGAAGTGGCTTTTCCACACGTCCCGTGCAGACCATCTCTTCTTCTTCCGCCACGCGTCTTACATACGCACTCTGAGCACACACACGTACAAACTCCTTTTACGCCATGGAAGAACAGTCGATGGCATTCCATCCATTCGCGCTCTTGCCCGTGGAACTTCGCCTAGCTATCTGGTTCCACTGTCTGCCTCATCGAGTTGTTCAAAAAGACAACCCTTTTGAGATTACGAGGCTCCGCGAGGAGCACAAATGTTGGTCCATACGGCCATCTCTCAAGAATGCTGCTCCTCCACGCATTGCCTCAGTCTGTCGCGAATCAAGACAAGTCGCTATGGAATGGGGCAAGATGGTCTCACAGAATCATAGCTGGAACCTGGGGCCCATATGGATTCAGCCTCGTTTGGACAGCTATCATCTCAATTTTACCCCAGAGGCAGCTTGGAGCTCCGGTTACGACATAGAGAATATCAGGGACTTTCTCATCGAGGGGTGGAACTGGCTAGACGCGGTCCCGATATCGGTAGCTGCAGAGTATTTCTTCGAATTTGACTTGGAAGGGCGAGACCTTTCCATGATGCGCTCTACCCCCTATATCGAAATCAAAGACGACTTGGTCGACGAAGATCTGAACATACTTTACAGCGAATGGGCCTACAATTATTCGAGGCCGTTTACAAAGGTATCATTATCCGCTACCATGGCCTTCATTTCTGTTCATGTTGCAAAGAGGCACGCCATAGCATCCGGCCTGTTTGGCCTGCTGCTCGATGCTCCAGTACAGCTGGTCAATTTCGACGATGAGCAGAGAATCAGAGCATTCCGAGCCCTCTTTGAGAGAGACAGTTTCAACCGCAAAAGGCCTGAAATGATTAAATTATTCTCTCTCATTTTGTCATCAACCTTTCGATCTCGTGTAGAAGCCTGGAGGGAAAAGGTGGACTGGCTCATGATGGCAAACGCATGGCTGCGCGCGAAGATGAACTGGGAGAATTGCATACCCTTTGATGAGGATCCATCTTCAGCCTGGATACCAATCACTGAAGAGTTTCAAGACCGTCGGCGGATTGTCTACATGAGGAATGAGCATGACGGTTACGAGAATCTGTTCGACAACAATAACCCTTGGGTTATACAGGCCAGAAAAGAGCTGCCGCGGGTTGCACCCAAAGTCCTCTTCTTACTGTGTACTGACGACTGCGATGTGGGCGGCAATCTGGCCATGGTACCTCCCATTCCGCGTAGGTCCAATCGGGATGACTTTTTTGAAGTTAACCATTACGAGGATCTCTGAAGGATGGCCACAGCTGAAGTGAGTGCTTTTGAAGCAAAACCTGAACACACGGCTATCTCTAGATGAGCTGTCAAAAAGAGGAGAAGCTTCAATTTACAAGGTAAAGCTCATGTCACACTATTCACTTGAGCTCAGGATCCTATATACATTGAATGCAATACTCCTTCAAATACAAGACGATAGCCCTAGAAAATAGTCTCATGTCCGCGACCAAGATAATCATGTGCTTCACTTGCAATCGTTTTCCAGCTTCTTATGGAGGTCTTCAATGGAACGAATAGCTTTCGCATGACTCAAGCCCTGGCCCTTTGAGTTGAAAACTGTGGCGTAGTCTTTGATCGCGGCCTCCCAAGCCTGTATTCCTACCCTTTGCGAGTTTGCTCTGTAAGTTGCATCAAAGTCTATCTGCTCATAAACAAACGGTGGACGACTGATCGGATCCTTCATCACAATTTGCAAATTTTCCAAGTTTGCTTTGTTCGCCGCCCATTTTGTGAAACTCAGTCGTATCTTCGCCGCACCCGCTTTACGGCGCCCATTGGCAATGATTGGGAGTAGATCTGTCATCTCTTTCAAGTAGGTCTTTTTCAGGTCCCTTCCATCCTTGGCAAAGGCTTCTTTAGTATCATCAATGACGGCCTCGACTTTGGCTATTACTTTATCAAAAGTCATATCGACCCCAAACAGTGAGTCTGTCATAAACTGTCCGGTGAAGCCGACTTTGTCGATTTCCCTCGCAGCAGCCTGAGGATCGCTGAAAAGCGCGTCCGTCTCGAAAGGAGTGAAGTCCATTTTGGTGTAATCCGGGATTCTCTCGTATTGAATTCTTCCTTGGGCGTCTTTGATATTGTTGCCATTTGCATCTTTGAGCCTGGCTCCTTTGTTCGTTTGCGTGACGGCCTTGATGAAGTCCTCAAACGTGCATTTCCCCCCGCACTTCGGTGCGACAATGTTGGTTCCTTGACCAAGCCCGTCGATCGTGAACTGGCGGAGACGCCAGTATAGTATCAGTTCGTACTTTCCAGAGTCTTGATTGGCGAGAGCGCCGGACGAACATAGAAGGGCCAAGGGCCAGAGAAGGAATACGATGGGTAGACGCATGTTGAAATCCACGTACACCAACTTTGACGTGCAGAGACGGCAACACGGTCAGGACAGAGTCATGAAATCAAAGTTTGATATAAAGGACGCCTGAAACCACTGCATATGCCAATATTCTCTGTCGTTGGAGTCATGACAGATAGTATAGAGGGAAGCTTACGAGAGACCTCAAGTACGCAATTTCTCCAATAGGGCCGGATGAATGGAGTAAAGCAGGGAACTTTTGCTTCTTCAACGACTGAGCTAACACATTGTTACCTTTGTCAAGTTCTAGAGCTGCGGGACCATGGGCCTCATGAGCCCATTGCCAATCCTTGTGTCGCATCAGGCTGTAGTCGTATGGCTAAAAGGCTTATCAAGGAGGTAATATGCATCCAGTGGAGGCCAAGAACCGGGACACTTCTTTACAACGACGCTGTTATCCTTGCACGGAAAATACAACCTGACCTCGTATAGGTGTTTTCTAATTCCGAGGCCGAGACGAAGGCCTTAATAACCGTATATGGCAAGCCGTACTCCGTACAGCTAACATACATTGTGTAAGAACCAACAGCGGCTTGGCGCATCATATAGCGGCTGCAGGCGTAGAGTGGTGAAGGAAAGAAAGGTGCTGGAACCAACAGCACAATTGTATGCGGTTAGGTCGAAAGAGGAAGTAGCCGACAGAGCGGAATGTCGTGCAGCAGCTGGAAGACGGGAACTAAACGGGTCCAGCTCTTCAACTACTACCTACCTAGGCAAGATAGGCTAGGTTATGCTTAGAATAAGCTTACAGAGCTCAATCACACGACATCCAAGCATGCAAGAACCATTGAATACCGTAGCCGATAGGCACAATAGTCTAGGGGATACAGTGAACAGATTGGGATTACTACAGCTAGCCTCGTCTACGTGCTCTACATGGTGTAAATGATGACATTGTCAAACGTCGTCTTGGTCCCAGACACCCTCACGCCGTTCAACCCCGTGAGATACGTATCATCTCCCGTCTCAATCTTTGGCTCATTCATGTCGTCCACAAAGATGGACAAGGCATTTCCCCTGGCCCGCACCATGATGTGATGAGCTGTGCCATGTTGGATGGATGCTTTGACATTGGCCAGCTCATTCCAACCGTTGTCAGAACGGCCAAAAACAATGTATCCGTTGCCAAAGCCGGCATAATAACCATAATAACCATCCGTTTTATCATACGGGCTGGAAGCCCGGAAGACAAGACCAGCATCGCCGCTCTCATCCCAGATGGTCACGTCCGCCTCATACACGAAGTCGGTATACAGCGCGTCGCGGATAAGTGCCTTGCCACCGGACGAAGCCTGACCGACCAGTGCAGCGTTCTTGGTAGCATAATCACCTCCGTAGGTTGCCCACTTGTCCATCGAGCCTGAGGCAAAGTCGTCTTTAAAGGCCAGCGGAAAGATCTGCACGTTGTCGAATGTCGCGCCCGTATCAAACACGCGCACGCCGTCCATGCCGGTACTGTAAGTGATGTCTGTCGCGCTAATCTTTGCCTTGGTCATGTCGTTGACATATACATCGATTTTGTTTTCCCGAACCTTGACTTTAAGGTGATGGGCCTTGTTGACGGCAATGTCGGTGTCGACGAGGCTGATTTCGGTCCAGTCATTAGATGCACGTCCTAAGACGACATTGTTCTCCGTGCTGATCCCGGCGTAGTAGCCCTTGTAAGTATCTGCGCCGTCTCCAGGACTCGAGACGCGGAAGATGAGACCCGCATTGCCCCAGTCATTGCTCAAGGTGACGTCGGCCTCGAACGTGAAGTTGGAGTAGCTGCTCTTCAGCAAGGCTTTGCCGCCAAGCGAATAGTCTGCAGTGAGCACCCCGGAACCAGAGCTGAATGAGCCATCGTATGTAGTCCACTGCCTCAAGCCAGAGGTAAAGTCATCATAGTAGGCATCAGTATTGGGTACTGCTGTAGGAATCGAAGTTGGCTTAGTAGTAGTGGACGAAGGCGGAGGCGGCACCGGGGGAGGCGGCACATAGGCGTCTCCAGATGAGATGCAGGTCCAGGTGACTTGGGGAGTCTTTTTTTTACTGGCGTCAACATTTTTGCTGTAGCCCCAGACCGTAGCCACGAGATAGGTTCTGTTGGCGGCAATCTCATAGGCAATGGGATCGCCGGGGGAGTGATATCCGGTACCAATGCGCCAAGTGTAGTGCTGCTGATCAGGGATCGTCTCGAGAGGCCCCAGCACAGGGTTAGCTATGACGGTGCTATCGGCATCTATCATGTCTGTCAGAAATGCTCAGATCATACTTTCTTCGGGCTTCTGGGACGTACACCAAGAATCTTGGCGGGCATATCCAAATGAGCTGCGGCAGCTCTCGGGCATTGGATCAAAAATCAACTGGGCGCACATTGTATTGTTATCCGTTGTGCCCCAGCCGTCGCTTAAAAGCGGCCCGAGATCGTCCAAACAGCCCTGCTGAAGAAAGCCACAACCGTCACCTCCATCAGCAGACTCCTTTGCCTCAGGCTTCGTCGTGATGAAGACGTGACGGCAAATGTACCACGAGGGGTCCATAGGGAGCGCCTTTCCGCCAGACATCATATCGTCAGGAATGCTGAAAGTCAACGAAGACAACACTGTCGCCGCATCCACCACAACAGTCGGGTCTGTGAGAACATCTGGCGCCACCGTCAGATGCACAGAGTGGCCGTCGATAGGGTCGCCTCCAGGCCAGGGCCGAGTCCAGTCCCAGCCGGTGAAGCTAGACGAAGCCATGGCCACAGGCGTGGAAAATGCGTCAGAGACGTTTGGCCAATTCATCTGAATGGCATTGCCCTGGGCCATGAAGAACTCGCCATTGTCAAGAAAGGCAGGAGTCTTGAGTGGACTACCGGGCATTGTAACTGGTACTGTCTTCTTGCAAATGAGGCAAGACAGGAAGTCCGATTTTTGGCTGTGGGAGAGTAGAAGTTGAGGACAGGAGAATCATGGGAGAATGGCAGAGCAACGGCGTGATAAGATGAACGAATAGGCGCCTCTTCCCATGTGGATGAGGTTGGTGACTAGCATGTGTGAAGTCCGGAAATATTGACCTCATCTCGTCTCGCACAGACAAAAGATCTCAAGAGAAGTTCAAGAGCTGCCCGAAAAGGAGATTCCCGAGCGTGTTGGCCCAGATATTTGCGACCCCTGCAATAATCCACCTCACCACAAAGAAGCAACATCTGGGGGACCCTGCATGACATTCTGTGAGGCTTTTACGGCTAAAATTAACTATCACGTTAAGCTTGACACGAGAACCGTGCTTGCTCAAGTCCAAAAGACCCTTGCATGAAGCCGCCGCTAAGGGACCGTTGCATGCAGGGTGGGGGCCGTATCTGCACCTCCGGCGTCAACCACTATATTCGCCTAATGCTTCGTCGTTATGGGTAGCAATATCACAATATCGCTGAAGATGCTTACCAACAGCACAAGTTGCCAAGAGTCGAGGCTCGGGATCAGACTCAACGGACGAAGCCGGGGCGACAGAATATGGATCCTCGGATGGACCATATCTTCTCCGATAGGCCGAGTCACGGGACTACAACCATTAACCATCAAAGGCAGTAGCGACAGAGATACTATATTGAAGCCTTCTGGTCTTCTTCTACCCGTCTGGTGCCTATCCTTCCAAGCAATTTCTGCCTTAACAAGTCTGTGTCGAAGTGTCTATCCATGCGGCGCTCAATTGCCTCCTGGGCGGCCCTGGGCCACCTCGTCTCCCTATGCGGCGCCATCATGACCGCCTATAACGGCCAGTACGCAGAAGACTGTCCCCGTCTTTGCAGCGACACTGGCCCAGAGCCTTCTAACTGGACCCATATCCACCATCTGAGGGAGCTCAAGACGTGTCACCTACCCATCATCTTTGATGTCAACGTCCAGTCTTCAGTCGACGACAACCAAACTGTCCTCACAATCCGGGCCTGCGTGTCTACCGGCCAAGAGACGTACAACACAAAGTCTCTTCCTCCGCTACAAGACGATGGCAGTCGATTGGACCATGGAAATCTCACTGTATCTAACAGCTGTGGAGGCAAGACAATCAAGTTGCCTGTAACGCCTGAGGTTGACGGGAGAGTGGCTCACCCTGGCTCTGGCGCAAAACCCAACACAACAGACGTCTTATTGGCAGCCCGCCATCTCACTACTTTCTTGCAAAAGGGCTCCCAATGCGGTACCACTATCATGTTTGCCAAATCATACTCTGCTGTGGTTGGCCTCTATTCGGGAGCTGAAGTGGCTCAGAGCTCTGTCTCGACAATGCTGTCAACTTTCCGTGACCAGGCACAACATGGCGGCACTGGATTGCAGGTCTGCGAAACTGAAAAGGCAGCCTTGGCCTTCGGTGTCTATGCTGCAAGCTTCCCCGACCTTGGCGTCGCCCAAGCAGCGGTAAGGAGCTGGACAAACGGCTTATGCCTCAACGGCTCAACTCCCTCCGTCGGCATGGACATGGATGTCCTTGTCTCAGCCATAAACACAAACACCACAGTCACTCCCCTTCATAGCAACTCCACTCTGGGTGCCAAGGGGCCACGGAGCCTCCACGCGAGAGCAGACTGCAAGACTCAGCAGGTCAAGTCTGGTGACGGTTGTGCCGACCTGGCAACTCGCTGCGGCATCTCCAGCGCCAACCTCACCAAGTTCAACCCGCAAGCAAACTTCTGCTCTACGCTCAAGCCCAACCAATACTACTGCTGTACCGCTGGAACTCTGCCCGACATGCGCCCCAAGCCGAATCCCGATGGCAGCTGCCACAGCTACAAGATCGCCGCAGGGGACGGATGCTTCTCCATCGCAAGCTCCTTTGGCATCACGCAGGCCAACATTGAGGCTTTCAACAAGAAAACTTGGGGCTGGGCTGGCTGTGCGCATCTCCAGGCCGGACAGCTCATCTGCTTGAGCACAGGAGATGCACCAATGCCCGCAGCAGTCGCGGACACCACTTGCGGACCCCAAGTCCCAGGCACGAAGAAGCCAACTGACGGCACTGCTCTGGCGGACTTGAACCCATGCCCCCTCAACGCATGCTGCAACGTCTGGGGTTTCTGCGGAACAACAGAAGACTTCTGCGTCCCCTCTCCAGCAGACACTGGAGCCCCGGGAACAGCCAAGCCAGGCACCAACGGCTGCATCTCCCACTGCGGCTCAGATGTCGTCAACAATGAGCAAGCTCCAGACTCATTCAAGAGAATAGGCTACTACGAAGCTTTCAGCTACGACCGCGATTGCCTGGCAATGCACCCCAAAAGCATCCCCAAAGAGACATACACTCACGTGCACTTTGCTTTTGCGACGGTCACGGACAAGTTTGACGTCGACATTTCTGGCTATGACATTGAATTTAATGCATTCAAACAAGGCGACTTTAAGAAGGTACTTTCTTTTGGAGGATGGGACTTTTCGACGGGTTCGGATACGTTCCAGAGGTTCCGGCAGGCGACTACATCTGCCAACAGAGGGACATTTGTCAATAACCTGGTTAGCTTTATGAAAAGGGTGCGTTTTCATGATGCCGCACTGACTTCCGATGAGCCTATGAGGGATTAACACTTCTGATTTCTCCTAGGAAAACATTGATGGCTTTGACTTTGACTGGGAATATCCAGGGGTGAGTTAATCAGTCATAAGACAATGGGTAATATTGACGCCACTTCACAGGCACCCGATATCCCAGATGTCCCGCCTGGCAGCGATGATGAAGGCAACAACTATCTCAATTTCCTGTCACTTCTCAAGTCCAGGCTCCCAAAGGGCAAGAGTATCTCCATTGCTATTCCCGCATCGTTTTGGTACTTGCAGTCATATCCTGTGAAGGACATGGCCAAATATGTCGACTATTTCATCTACATGACATATGACTTGCACGGTCAATGGGGTAAGCTTCATCCGACAGCTTAATACTCCTTCCTTTGATTGATAGATGCTAATACTCAGCAAAGATGTGGAAAACAAATGGGCCATTCCCAGCTGCGAAGGCGGCAACTGTCTTCGCTCCCACGTCAACAAGACCGAAACCTACAACGCCCTCTCCATGCTCACCAAGGCTGGTGTCAAGTCCACCAAGATTGTCGTTGGCGTAACCAGCTACGGCAGAAGCTTCCGCATGGCGGACCAGAAGTGCTCAGGGCCAATGTGTACGTTTCTCGGCGGAAAATTGGATTCAAAGGCGTACAAGGGACGTTGCACTGGCACGGCCGGATACATCTCCAATGCCGAAATTGCCGAGATCATCGACAACCACGGCAATTATTCTATTGTGAATAACTATATAGATGGGGATTCCGCTTCTTACATCCTCGAATATGGCAATAACGGGGCCGTCGACTGGGTCGCCTACATGGACGGAGGCCTCAAATCAGAGCGCATCAAATGGATCCAACTGCTCAATTTCGCCGGCTCTTCAGACTGGGCCATTGACCTCGAAACCTTTGCGACTGAGGACACGGGCAAAGATACTGATGCGAGCGGACAGCCACTTTACGACGACGAGGACGAGGACGGCGACGGTGAGGGTTATGGCTGTTTCGAGGAGGACAACCCCGGGACTCTCGAGGGCATTGCCGACGTCATCGACAATTTCAACGAGCGGTGCCTTAGCTACTTCACTCTGGAGACACTCTACGGCATGCTCGTCGATAGCCTGTCCCTCTTCGACGAGAATTCGCACGACTACGATGACAAGTTCAGGTACTACGAGGAATGGGTCAAGGAGCTCGTCGACCCCAAGCTGGACGACTATATGCGCTTCGGCGACGGGCCCGGCAACCAGTTCTTCACCTGCCACTGGGAGGCCGGCAGCAGAAGCGGCACCGACCCCTGCACCGGCGTGCCGCACTTTTGGGAGCTGGAGCAGACGTTCAGCGTCGAGTACGAGCTGACGGACGAGGAAGGCTTCTACGACGACGTGGCCGCGACTCTGGGCATCGACAAGGAATGGATTGCCTGGGGTGAAAGGGGCAAAAACTACGACTGCGCCGCCGAGGCCGAGGACATGCCACGGCGGCCGTACGGAAACGGAAACATGCCCGTCTGCCGCCGCATCTACCGGCGGCGGCTTAACGTGCCGGTCAAGGCCTCGGACGACGACATCGTGGTGGCCAACCCGAAGGAGATGATTGAGAACGCCTGGACAAACATCACCACACTGCAGGAGACGCTCTGGGCGACCTTTGCCGAGGTGGCCATCGACATCTTCAAGGACGCCACCGTGCAGGTCCCGGAGCTCGACGCCGTCGTCGCGTTCGCCATGCCCGTGCTGCAGCTGGCCGAGTCCATCGACAGCATGAAGGACATCAAGGACATTGGCGAGCGCGTCATGGAAGAGAAGAAGCGCGAGCTCATCTTCAAGATCCTCACCTTTGTCTTCATGGCGCTCCCCTTTGTCGGCGAAGCCCTGGGCCCCCTGGTCGGCAGCGCGACGGCACTGGCCCGCATAGCGCTGCTCGTCAGCGAAGCCGGAAACACGGCCGTCACCATCGCCGACATCATCAAGGACCCGGCGTCCGCGCCCTTTGCCATGCTGGGGCTCATTGTGGGCGCGGCGGGCGGCGGCGGGAAGCTGTCCAAGACGGAGAGCTTGGGGGAGGCGTCCAAGGCGCGGGGGCTGATGAAGGCGGCTGACTTGGCCAAGTTTCCGCAGAGGTTTCGCGATAGGGATGCTTTGGTGCAGAAGATTTCGAAGAAGTCGGTGTGTGGTGTTATTTAGTGGTTTTGGATAGGGCGATATTATTGCAAGAGCTGAGAGCCCATTGATGTATGTAAGTGTCAGGAGGTAGGCATCAAGTGATTCGAGCCTGTGTATGAACTAGAATATGTAGTCTCTTTATAAAGTAAGACAATTCTTTACGGCTGAGAGCTGTCTCACCCACTTGTCTCCCTTGCTGCATGTACTCGGCAGATTCTCGTGGCATTCTTATGATAGGCCGAAGTACTCGTACGTACATATCATAGCGATCCCGAAGTCATACCCTCTCACGGCCTCTTTGATTCGGCCGCCGGATGGCTAGCATGCTTTCTATGTACTACACCAAGGGATCCTGATACCAGCAAAAGTGTATCTAGCCAATCAATCCTCTTACGTGTAACCTGTGCACAGGGGACGTGTAACCTGTACACAGGGGACGTGTAACCTGTACACAGGGCTCGTAGCGCAACTAAAAATTGAGCAGTCGTACGGAGTAATTGGCTCATTCATTCGAAGCTCTTCCACTAAGATTCTAGGTCTTGTGCTTGAACCGCATTTTCGGTGCCGTAGCGGGGCACCCCTGCCGCTACCTTTGACATACCTTAGCTCTTCCAATCCTCTGGTTGATTGGCTGGCGTGTAGCTAGTCAGAAGGCACACCTACAGCACGGCAAAGTGAGCATGGTTACACAATCACAACCAAGGTAGGGTTCATGTACACTCTGGTTCTCAAAACGTTTCTCAGTGGATTTTTCCATCAGGTATATACGGTCCTAAAGTACCCTTTCGTTCAATTTCAGGGAAGAATTACCCATCATCTACGAATATCCTGATTATACACACTTGAGCATGAAGGTGCACAAGGAGCAGAGTGTACATGTAAGGTACAGTAATTCCTCTTAGTGACTACACGCTTGACTTCTCCTGCAAGACTTCACTTCAAGGTCAATCACCGCCCCCAGGTATGTCCTCGTGCCTCCCAACACTTCAGCTGACATTTCAAGAGGCACCTACCGCAGTAGCTCCTGCCAACCCTCTCTACTCTTGAAAACATAAAAGCCGGCTCTTTGCCCTCTCTGTTTCCCATAATCTTAGCCATCAAGCAAGCATCATCATTAGAGCAGCTTCTATCTGCTATATCTCATATCGTGCCGCTTCACCAGGCCCCGATCCCAACCATGGCCGCTTTCCCTACCAACGGCTGGAACTTGCCAGGAGAAGCCAACTACAACACGCCCAGTCCGTTTGATCTTCTCGATGGCAACGACGCGTGAGTGCCACTCCACAAAGTTCTTTCATCTCCCTCTCTCTCTCATGAAGAACATAGTGGACGCACACACTATATCTCCTTTGCCTCTACAGCGGTGATGAGAGTTTCTTGGGACACATACCTTCATAACCTCCTCCAAGGCTAACCATCATGGTGAACCATAGCATCAAATTCACACCTACCCTCGCCGACATAAAAGCCAACGCCACCACCTTCGCCCCCCGTGCCCGTCGACCCTTTGCCCTCCGTCGATACATCTCCGAACGCAAGGCCCCCCTCGGATACAGACGTCCCCTGAGCCCCTCCGTGGCGAGGAAGCGTATGCTTGCGAAGCTTCAGGAGTTTGACGACAGGTTCAACTCGTCCCAGGACTATGATCAGTGGTGGGAGACTATAAGGCGTCCTGCGGTCCCTTACGACCACGCGGGTGTACTGGATGTCGTGGCGCCGTGGATGTATCCGTATCATGAAGATGAACATTTGTCGAAGATGATGGCGGGAGCTTGGATATAGTTGTCGAGACAGAGACGATTTGGTACTTGTCCATAACTTGTGATCGAACAATGTCTGTAAGGGGTTAGCTCGAGTGCGTTCAGCGGGCGATACGCATGATAAACGATAGTTTGAATCGAATGAACATCGGACTTGACCAGCATTGCCCCCATCGGATTGCACTCATAGCAAGGCGCCTGCATGGTCAGCATACAATGCAGCACATTTCGAATACTGCTCGTGATGTGGACATGAAAAGGGGCAGTCTCATTTGAACCATAGCTTTTTCTATTTTCCCATCGACCGCAAAGCCATTGATTTTAAGGAGATGGAAGGCCTTGATTTTCTCTTCTGGTAATGTACATTTAGATAGGGGCAAGAGGCTCGCCATCCCTGATCTTGCGGGCACCATACTTCTCCAGACGGATAGCCTGGATAGCGATGAAGCCGCTCGTGTCCTTGACAAGATCATCAGCTGCGGTTCACTTCTGAAGGTTCGTTTCTTTTTAAGAAGCTACTTACCTGGGGAGAGAAGCCCTCAAGGGTATCCATGGATGACTCAGTCTCGGAGTAAAGGTTAGAGGTCTGGCTGGAGCGTCCGACGACGAATGCGCTGCCTTTGTAGGCAACCATGTTGACCTTGCCCTCGACGTGCCTCTGGCTGAAGATGATGGAGTTGTGGAGGAACTCTCGCTCGGGGCTGAAGTACATGCCGTTGTAGAGGCAGGCGGTCCAGTTCGAGGTGACCATCTGGTCACGGATGGCACGGACCTTGGAGTCCATGACAAGGCCCTCGAGATCTCGGTGGGCGGTGCGGAGGATCGTCAAGCCAGGGGTGTCGTAGCAGCCACGGCTCTTGAGACCAATGAACCTTGATTCGACAATGTCGACACGGCCAACTCCGTTGGCTCGGCCGATTTCGTTGGCGGCCTTGAAGATTTCCAGTGAGCCAGTGATGGTCTTGTCACCGACCTCGAGCTTGATCGGGATACCCTTCTCGAAGTGGATAGTGAACCTGGTCGGCTCGTCAGGGGCCTTCATGGGGTCTGTCGGAGTTAGCTCCCCACGTCACGTAATTGATCTAAGACTGAACCCCAACTTACCCACGGTCATTGTCCACATGTCCGCCGGCGGCTCGAGCTCGGGTTGCTCGAGCAGACCAGCCTCGTAAGAGCAACTATTTTCAGATGGAAGAGTTAGGGACAATCCTATGTCCGGCCGGGAGAAGAAATTCTCGACTGGATGAAGTAGAGGGCTTTTACTCACTGGATAAGGTTGGCATCCATCGAAAACGGCTTCGCCTTGGTCGACGTCACAGGAACGCCCTTTGATTCAGCAAAGTCCAAGAGCGCTTGACGCCCACTGTCTGTACGTCAGTATCTCTGAGGAAGAGAGGGGCCGGCAGGGGTACGGACGCGAATCGCTCGTAGAACTCCGGAATGCGCCACGGGATGATTGTCTTTGTCGTCTGGTCGAGGGCCTTCCATGCCAGCTCGAATCGGACCTGGCTGATAAGAGGGTAAGTATGTGACATTGAGATCCGGACATCTAAACGTACTCATTCTAATCGAGAGTTAGCATCTAGAACATGATATACAGAGAGGGAAGAACGTACTCCTTTACCCGTGCCTGTGTAGGTAGGAGAGACGGCAGTCAGTATGGCGCGACAGAAAGCAGATCCTGAAAGGCGACGTCGATTGCTTACATCCGTGACTCAAGAATGCACAGTTATACTGCTTAGCGACTTTCATCATCGCCCTCGCAATGACTGGCCTGGCCAACGACGTTCCCAAGAGGTAGGCGTCTTCGTATATCGCGTTGCCTGATAGCGTGGAAAGTTAGCATAGTCGTGGATGGTACCCCTGCATTTCGCACGGGCGATCGGCCGAACACACATTGCACTGCTGGCCAAACAAGTTCCTCCACCAGCTCCTGCTGAAGATCCTGGATGATCATGCGTTCGGCACCGATCTTCTCGGCCTTGGCCTTGACTGCGTCCCAGTCCTCATTTTGTCCCTACCATGACGTCAGCACAGGGATACAGGCAAATGAAGCCGCCATGAGTCGCGAGCTGGCCCTGAGAATAACAGTCCCTCTCTTTCTATCATCCGGGCCACCTCTCTTCGTATCCCCTCCATGAACAGCTCACGGCCAGAATGCGAGGGGTGGAATTCGGATCTGCTACAGTAGTGGCAGTTGGATTCGGATTTGGAGTGGGAATCGGAACGAGAGAGACAGCTTATGCTTCCAGGTGCAGCGCTTGTCTTCCAATCCGAGGAGAGAATGTCGAGAGACGGCCTGTACGTACCACGTCTGCGAGGAACGCCTGTTCTACCTAGTCAGCTCAGCGCAGGTACATTGGCTGGGTTAGACATACAACAACGGTATAGCCCTGCTCAATGAGCCAAGCCAGGATAACCGAAGTATCCAAACCTGGAAGTTACATTAGCATCGTCATCGTGCCCATGCAGCACTGTTCGCGTAGAAAAACGCACCGCCAGAGTATGCCCTAATTCACGGGGATCGCCAAGTCAGCCTCACAGCGCTTGAAAAGCAATAGTGCTTCTGTTCAACTCACAGACAAACGCGCTTGTCAGCCATTGTGATAGTTGATTGAAGTTGGAAAAGTAAGTAGGAAGCGGATCAAGTTGATGACCGTCAGTGGTACTATTATTACGCTTTCATCCCGCCGAGCCCGGAGTCGGAATGAGATCTACAAGATAGCTGTTGTGGGGACACTAGGCTGGTTGTGGCATGACGCCTGATAAGGGCTGCGACCCTAGCTCTATAATGAGTCAATTCGGACGCCAGAATCACTTTACAGAAAGCTCTTTAACGTGTGAGTCATCATCGATCCCCCTGTCTTTGAGTGCCTTACCTTACCTTATCTTACCCCGCCTTAGTAAGCAGCGGTAGCGGAACGGAATCCAGAAATCGATGTCATCTACGTTATTTCTTTCGCATACCTTACCCATAGCATACCGGTATACCCCGGATTCTTCACCTTTGACCAAACACGAGGGTTTCGCCGAATGGGACGAAACCATTGTGACACTGCTACATCGATCGCTTAAGCTGCGGCAAGACATACCGCAGCATCCGTACGATCCACGTCACAACTATCCTGCCGTAAGCGGAGGATACCAAAGGATTGGGGGTCAAACGCTATATAGTATACTCCTCGCCATTCAACGCGACAATTCTGGGATGGCTGAGGGCGAATGCATCTCCCCGAATACGCGATACGCTCTCGAGCTTCCTACTTCATCCGCTTATCCGATCATACCAAGCCCGACCGATCTTACGTCGCACCTCCCACGCACGGATATTGAACGATCTGGAATCAGGCGTCCTAAATCCAGATGGCGACCGCCTCCCCAAAGTGCTAGTCACTCACGCCTTATATGGGCCACGACTTCAAGATCCCGCTCCCACCCACTGCCTTCCAGGTGAAGCATACGTGGAATAGTCCAGGGCATGCCAGCCCGACGCAGATGGTGATTTGGACATACGTAATCGACCACAGCAGCATCATTACTACCATATGCAGCAAGCTATGTACAAGCGCATGGTGGCAGCATGCGGCCAGAGGTCCCATGCTACGGCTCAGGACCGAGAGACTCAGGCTAATCATTATGGACAAGTCCTCTATTGCCATCAGCAATTAGCGGGTGAAGCCATCGGTCTAGCCAAGCTGGCTATACTGTCTGTCTTCCCATATCCAGCTGATGAGTTCGATGACTACATTTTTCATCTGACGTCCATATAGCGCTCGCAGAGACCATCGATATTGTCTTCCTCGACACCCTCAGTCCCGTCGAGGAGAACAGCATAGGCTGCACCCGCTTTGCTGCTTGGTATAGCGAAGCTCACAGACCGAAAGAGATGCCAGTTCGTACGTTTCAGGCACTCAATCGGGCGCTTCCTTTGAAGCAAGCCTGCAAACCATATGGAGCTTTCACTTTTTAAAGCGTTTGCCTCTAAAGTACCGGCAGCCGTTTATTCTTCAATTACTTGAGAGAGCAACTTTAAATGACATGTTTAGCTGTGCAGAAATGGGGCGCCCGAGGCCCAGTTTCCGGCGGGGATTTGGCCTTTTTCACATGCGACGCTGGGCGTTTCTTTGTGAGACATTATGGTAACCGGCAATAGTTCGGTGAAGGCTGTAGCAATATTCAAGTAGTAGATACCATACGTTGCAGCAAAGTATCCAATGGCGGCTCCCCGGGATGACATCGTTAATCTCAATGATAGGGAGCTCTAACATATCGCTGTACCTACATGAAGGATGAGCTATATTTTTTTTGGCCGGTTCGGGAGCCGGTGAACATCCGTATTACCTAGGTAGGTAGTCATGCGGGTTGCAAAAAACACCGCCGGTCTACCATATAAAATTGTAGGTGATGGGCGGCGGTGTTTTCTGCCACCCACTTGGTAGTATAGGTAAATGAGGCTATTCTCCAAGTATCGCGCTACTCATGCTCTAATCTCACCGGTTTGAATGGAGAGCCAATCAGCATCTTGTACGACCTCACCTTGGATGTCATCTACTCGTAGAGGATTATTCTGAAACCCGAAATCAGATGTTGTCAAACGACCAAGCTAGCATGGCCAGGCCTCCAGACCCCCCTGGCTTATGCTACCGATGTAACACAGGCAAGGCTTTCTCCCTCGAACCGGCCACGGCAGGCGAAGCCCTCGTGGTTAAGTCCGATTGTCTCTAGATGGCAACCGGCGGCAAGCGGGGGATGTGGACAACCGGCACGGTGCGGCGGCGGCGGAGGACGGCGGCGGAGGACGGCGAAGCTGTGCCTGAATTGGGCGTGTAGGTAGCGGGCAGCCACAGCCGTCTCTTTTTTCCGCACGGACTACGTACTTACAAGCATCGAATCATGCGGGACAATGGGGAACTGCACAACTACCTGTTCGGACAAAACAGGCACCCTGACTCAAAACTCGATGACTGTGATTTTAGGCGCACTAGGAGGTGAAGTGTTGCTCTTTGGCGGTCGAGCAGTCGTCCGCAGTGAGTGGAACGCAACTTTTGGCATGCGAAGAAGGGGGCGTGTGCTTTTGTCGACTCGCAAAAAGAAAAGGAAAGAAAAGAAAAGAAAAGAAAAAGAACAGAAAAAATGAGAATAAAAAAAAAGAAAAAGAAGAGAAGGAAAAAAAAGATAAAAAGAAAAAAGAGAAAAGAGAGAAAAAAGAGAAAAGAGAAAGAGAAAAGAAAGAGAAAAGAAAGAGAGAAAAGAAAAAGAGAAAGAAAAGAGAAAAGAGAAAGAGAAAGAAAAGAGAAAAGAGAAAGAGAAAAGAAAAAGAAAAAGAAAAAGAAAAGAAGAAAAAAACTACTCGATGTTCGTTTTAATGAGATACTCAGCAGCCCAAGGGGCTATGAGATACCTCTGCAAGTATAGCAGACAACAGAGTCGGCTCAGTATCTTACGCCCACGCCCCGCCCTCGTACAGCGTTGCCGTACTAGAACCCGCTTGCTTTGGCCTACTTGTGCTCCCCCAATGCCCTTTAGGCCGGATGCAACAACCAAGGCCTGCAGCGGTACAGTCTCCAACTCTCATACGTGCGTGGGGAGGCTCGCGCTGCCCCAAACAATCCGAATACAGGGAGGGTGACTGGCATGGAAGTTTGTGCAGCGAGCAAACCCGACATTGGCTGTAACAGATGAGTCCGAGCCAGCCAAGTAACTTAGGACTACATGCCTACTTGCAGGCTAAGCCCTGTGGGGTACTATTAGCAGCGATGTCACTAAGTGGTACGCCCCGCGTCCGGGAACCTGCCTCACCAGCACTTGACCCCTGACGGGCAACGACTAGCGGTGTTTCCTGCTCAATTGATACAAAATGAACATTAGTCGGCGATAGCCGGCCATAAGACAAAAACATGACCTCAAAACTCTTAAGGCATCATCCGGTTGGTGGCTTGCTCAGTAATGAGATGAAGAGCAGTCGGCGATAGCCAGATGTCACGACCTGCAAACTCTCGAGGCATCATCCAGTCGGTGGCCTGCTCAAATGACACAAATTGAACATTGGTCGGTGATAGCCGGCCATAAGGCAAAAACATGACCTCAAAACTCTTAAGCCATCATCCGCTTGGGGGCTTGCTCAATAATGAGATGAAGAGCAGTCGGTCATAGCCAAAAGTCACGACCTGCAAACTCTTGAGGCGTCATTCGGTTCTGGTCAAGCAAGGTCGGTATATATAAAGGTCGTCTCAATTCCTTGTTCTTTCATACTTACACATCAAACACTTACACTTTGATCATCTCCTTTCCCATACCTTTTCACGAGCATCAACTGTTCAGGAGTCAACCATTTCGAGTTTGCACCACCGAAGATGCCTACATCATCCACTGGCGCAGTTTACGATGGCAGTAATGCCGGCACGTACGTATAGCTTCAGCGACATACATCTATGACCCGATGTTCAGATTCTTTATACCCTCAAATCCGGCTTTTTTCCTCGTCCGCTATGTTTTATTCGCATCCCACTGACAGCTGATCTGGTAGTGGCGGCTCCGACAAGCGCCGTGCCCCCCGCGACGCCGACACCCAAACCACTGTCAGAGTCCCCAACGACCCCTCATACAACATAAACCGCTTCTTGCAGGGCGGCGGCGAAAGACCACCGCCTGGTCTCAGACAGACGCAAAGCGAGACTGAAGCTAAACAGCGCATGCAGGAATTGCTGCACGCTTTTGGTGCGCAATTTGACCATGGCGGCAGCTCTGCACAAACCGTGCCTAAAGGTGACGAATGAATGTTGAAGTGATGGATGTTGAAGCGATGATTATGGGAGTGTAGATATTAGGACAATGGACTATGGGATAATGGATATTGGAGTGATGGACATCGAAGTGATGGATACTGAAGTGATGTTATTCTCGATTTGTGTGCCAATTTTCGCTTTGGCGATACAAATGTTTTTTCCCTTATGTAAATTAGATCGACGCAGCCACTCTTCTCGAAATTCCCTATACCTGCATCCGTATTTGATATACATTACTTCATAGGCGGCTGGTAGATAGCCTCGTGCAGACATAATTGACACGATGGACTGCAAAACCCCGCCGCGGACCACCAGCTTTCAGGCGCTGCAGTGGAAATGCACCTGCACGTAGTTCCCCCAGAGGGCCAGACTCTTACTACTAACACGAACCGTTTAAAACATAAGCCCATGCTTTTAACAATGGGGAAAAGGCCCCGCCATGACTAATTTAGGACAGCGGGAGCAGCCGGCGCCGTCTTCCGTCTGGACCTGAACCTTAATGATACTACTAGTGCGAAAAGGACCCTGACGTTCCTGCGCTAATTCTCTCTGTTGGCCTCGGCGATATTCTTTAGTTTCTTTCCATTGGCATTCTTCAAGAGGATCTCGCCAACAACATGCATCAACCTCTCGTGCGTATTAAGCGCAAGTAATAATATAGTGAAAGATGGATCGACCAATTTTATATGCAGACACCTTCGTATTTAATGGCGTAAGGCCGCGGAGTCAGAAGGAGTGTTCCCAAAGTGCTTGGGCAAAGACGTATCTAAATGCTCATTTAAGCAGAATGCAGACTTATTTTCTTGATACGCCAATTGCCACACACCTGGCACCGTATGCGCCCTCGTGCGTTTATCTCAATGAAGTTTTCACGCCGTCCACAAGTTTCGTTCGTCTGTCAAAGTGCTGGTACCTCCTACCTTTCCTGGCATCCCAGGACATCCTACCCTTTACTGCCAACATGCCGCCCTCCTCAACTCAAACCGTTAACAACAGCAGTAACATGTATGCATTCTTTTGACAGACTTTGCTTTTCCCCTTGTCTTAGTCTTTCTACAGAGCACCCAAACGTTAGAGACTAATATCTATCCCTTATTCATCTCCACAGTACCCCTGACCAAGCCTACAATATACACACTGCCCCTCTACGGAGTACTACTGATCGGCTAGATGCCCCAAACCCACCGATGCTTTTATGCAGTCTCCGCTTACAGGCCATTTAAGAGGCAGAAAGCCCCAGGCGATACTATATACCCTGGACCGATTCCACGTGGCAAGAGTCCATGTGAATCACCATCTTCTCCCTGGAGCGTTGAACCATGCCCGCTTACAAGGAACTACTGAAGTCAGGGAGAAGTTGTTCAATGTGCTAGCATAACTGGATGACCTTGGCAAACAATTCAGCACAAACCATGATCACAGCTCAACACTGTGGCGTTGAGGTACGCGTCCATTCAAAAACTATTCTTGGTGTTTGGGTGTGTGCATTAATGCCATCTACGTCCGTAGGTAAAGCCACACGCCTCTCTACAATGAAGAAAATACATCCACGTAGTCAGCACTCGCAGACTTCCACTTTTTGCGAGTTTTTGTCCCAGCCCTCAAAGGTAGTACGCTAGCCATTGAGGTATCTTGGCAAAGGCGGGCAGAAGACGGCGCTGCCTGCCACCTATGGATAGCGAAGCGCCAGACGGGTGGCGTTTTGTTTTCACGGCATGTCTAGGTGGTACGAAAGAGCCAAGCAGATCTCAGAGAGCAACGTCTGCGATGTAGCTGTCGAACAAAATGGCATCCCGCGAGGAGAAATTGTGAAAGCTTCCACCTACGGAGGGCAAGCAAACCGGGAGACTTTTAGCATCCTGTCGTTTGGCCCTGTTTTTGGTCCCAAGTAGTTCCACAATGAAGAGAGTTGATTGTTTTACACAGTGGTCAGTGGTAACAGCACCTCATAGTCCTACACCCCATACCCCTGTCCTTCTACTTCTCCCTGTCTCCATCCATCTCCCAGTCTCTCGATTGCATGCAATCATATCGAACGCGATGACATAGTAGTCTCCGCAAACATTCAATAGCGCCTAAGAGTTTACGACTCCGTGGGGAGACTGTGGTGAACAGACGGCAGCCAGTGGCACATAGTGTGGTGCATTACACCAGATATGAACCGATCCCTGCGCCCGGCAGACTCGACCCCCATACCCGCACGCCGCGTAACATGCCTGCCGGCCCTCCAAAAAGATGCCGTTACTGCCCTACTTTCTCAGCACGTGCCTCTGGCATGCTGTGGGAGTTACACTATCAAATCAGGTGCTGCATGAATCTTTGTTTCCAGATACCAGCTCATTGCGGACAGGCCAGACGACATTCAGGTGTTACCTTGACTACTTATTTAGTCTTATTTCTTTGGTGTTGTAGCACAATCCTGCAAGCCGGTCGCTCACATACACATGCCCTGGACCTCAGGGGCTGTGTATCTGCCGATTGGATGAGCCGCGTCGAACGCATGAATTTCAAGGCTGGCCCCTGTACTTCTAGCTCGCCACATGTAGGGTGTGACGCAAATGTCACGCCTAACAAACTGCCGTGTTCTCAGATGGAGTCTTTATGGATTTGGGCAGAGCTCAAAATGCCTCGGACCCTGTCCATATTTGCTATCACAGGGCGCAATCTGATAGGCAGTACTATTGAGGAAGTATAAAGACTACTCACTGAACCTTTGATGCAAGCCGGACATAGAAGAGGACTTTATCATGGCAGTTATACGAGTACACTCTCACAAGTTGTACAGGCACACTCACATGGTCAAGAATACACATGTACCGCATTAGGCATGTATGCTTGCCGGAATAATGCTAGTACGCACCTTTCTTCATGCCACAGGTTGTGAACTGGCTTCCGGGTTCCGAGCCTCTGGGTGGTGTTTCAGCCCACAGCTCTTCAATCGGGCGAGGCGCAGGAGTAGTCCGTACAGTGCCAATGGTATAGAATCCACACCACAGGTAAATCTGATGTACTGATTCCCTCGGGTTCCCTCAGTGCAGACTCAAAGGGTTGGTCACATCTAACAAATGGCTCCTCCAGACGCATATAATGAGCAGCACTTGGTGAGAGGACGAGATCGAGGCGGATAATCATTATGTTCTTATATGTGCATTGGCTGGATTTCTTGATTGAATATTGTAGTACTGCACCGGATACTACAAACGCAGTTGCTTCTACGACGCTGGCTTCACGTCGGCGCGCCTCCTCAAACGATTGTGAGCATCAGGCAGCCCAATTCGTCACTGGTGTGCAGCATATCATACTTGGTACGAGAAATCAAAGCTGGACATCTGATCTGGGTACGGAAATGATTGGCAAAGAAGCCCGGGCCGCGATGCGCAGAGGAGCTTTGTTAGCCAGTGCGGCTGCGGATTTGGTAGAGGTACCTAGAGTACTAGGTAATTTCAGGGTGGGCTTGTGTCCGCGGGTGCGTATGTCTCTTGCGGCGCTAGCGCTACGTAGTGGGCGACTCTCTCGGATCTCCCTCGTCTATCTCCGTGTAAGGCGACCAATCGGTACTTATCAGCGAGGACAAAAAACACAGGTAATTGATCTGAGTTGATATATACATAGACCTTGCGACATCCTAAAGAGCCCATGTCCTCCTTCAAAGTTGCCGTGGCCCTGATTTTGAATCACCATTCTTATATATTACTCGCGCATCCTATATAAACTTGTATTGCAATTTCCCACGATAGTCAGGTATTTACGCGCTTCAAGCTACTCTATATCTAGGTATCTTAGGTACTCTTTACCCTTCGGGACACTCTATCAGACTTCAAATATCTTACTTCAACAGCATAAGACATTACACTTGCATCATGCCAGACTCCTCCACCAATGCCGTCTATGATGTGTGTCCGGGTTGGCGTCTGTCTCAAGGTATACGTATGTAGGTAGTTTACCCTATTAACCGCAATTATTTAACTTAAGTTGCGTAACAGTTGATCTCGTACTGATACCTCACCTTTGATCTTTACGAGGCGGGGCGCTAATGTGCCGCGCTAATGCGGCTGCCTCTTCTCCTCCTGTATGGGATGGCCAAGCCCCTGTACGTCTTCGGTTCAATGTCCAAAAGAATCCATGCAATGACTCGAGAACTAAGACTCAAAATAAGGTACATGAATGCACTGCTGAGCAAGTCGAGTGGAATTGGCACTACCTAGGTTAGGACAGCTCAACTGCGAGGCGGCCGTTTGGGGGGCCGGGTTCGACTGCTCACGAAAAGAGGGCTGTCGAAACCATCTCATCAGAGTCTCTAGTCGATACTTGTACCTTAGGTACGGAAATACATAGCAGAGTTTGTACCGCGCTTAAGAAAAGACGCTTCATCTCCCTACTTGCTACGGGGTAACATGTGCGCATGAAGCTACAGACCTGATTCCGCCTTATCACAAGTTTCTGTACCGGTAGTTTCTGAAGAGGCAGCCGTCGATGAGCGTCCTATGACGCTCCCGCGTCCATTGCCGGGGAGTCGCGCGTCAATTGTCTGCTATACAGAAGTGTGCTGTGCAGTTGGGGCATGGTTCCCCCTGCAAGTGCCATCTGGGAGACCGGGGTCGGCCCCTGGTCGTATCGTACTTGTACGCTTCAGGTAAACTTCCAGAAATCTTGTGATGGAAGGAAGCGCTAATGCAGTTGCCTTTCCATCCAACGTACTAGTTACTGTATAAAAGGAGACGATTCGTAGACCGCATCGCCGCGAACCATGGGTTCGTTGAGCTTCATCCCGTCCATCTACCGTCCTCAGCACAGGCGCGCATACCCTGCCAGCGCGTGCCTTGCCCGAATGATTACCAAGTACTTGTAACTCGCAGCCGATAGACGAGGTACTTGTTGGAAAGTACGAGGCACATAGTGCCGCGGGTATACACTGGCTATCTTACATGTATCTAAACCTAGAAGATCATCGCAATCCCATAAGGTTGCCTTCAATTCGTATGTCTCAGCTTCTAGACACCCTGGATATCGTAGTACTACCTTATGCTCAAAGTCCCAACTCCAACTCGTTGCCTTCTTCCAACATGGATCCAATACCGCTTGTAAACAGGTTTTCTCTCGCCGCGCACCTTAGCAGCGTAGCGGCATTGAGAAATTGCTTGTTTATACAAAGTATCTTTGGCGTGCTACAAATGCCTTATCTCTCGGCACCTCCCGAGTCAGTATAAATAAGCTGATTCCCCCCCGTCTGCCATGGCCATGCATCAACTGTTTTCGCAGTCGCTTCCATTGCGCTTGATCTGTTCTATATATTTCATACAACCTTCTAGAAACGAGCATCATCCGTCCAGCATTCTTTTTCATATACCTCTGAGCCTGATCATTCCTATCCACTTTACGCCAGAATCAAAAGACGTCACACCCTGCTCGTTAAAAATGCCAGGCTCCTCCAACAATGCCGTCTATAACGGCGATACCAAGTATGTTCTCTCTTCGAAACTTAATTCCTCGTCCTTCTTCTTTACATTCCAGTTCTGGAGGTAGTGAAATCGACGTGTGCAAGAGTTCATTGCTGCTGATGGGACACAACGACTGATTGCTCTACAGCGGCCCGGTCCAACCCCACCCCTCAAACGGCCCAGCCAACCACAACTTCGCCATCGGTCGCTTTCTCTCCGACCCAGACCAACAGAGTCCCTTAGGACTCCGCGCGGTTCAATCTGCAGCGGAAGCCGAAGCAGCTGCAAAAGCTCGCATGGTGGCCAAGCTGCATGCTTTTGAGCAGCAATTCAGCTCCAATAGCGAACCAAAGGCCAAGTAATTTGACAGATAGTCCGCGCACATCACGGTCGTGGTTGCTGTTGTCGAGGTCGAGAGTATACTTTATGAGCGCATTGGACGGATAGCGGGTTGAAATCTTTGACAGGTGCATGTATGGAGTATCTCATGTTTGGCAGAATCAGGGTGAAAGACATTCGAAGAGAGCTTGGAAATGTGTCTGATGTATGTACGGAGTCGAGGCCGAAATAACCTGTACTGTCCCTCACATGTGTTGCGCCCTCCATTGTTGCGCCAGCCAGCCGAGACTGGAAAAAGTGGCATTCGCGTGTGACTACCAGGTAACCTCCAAGTACATAGAGGCGCCCCCTTGCGATAAGCATCGGCTTCACCCTTTAAGATACATTACCAGGTACCTTCCCCAGGTCATCATCTTGCTTGCAGTACCGGGACAGATGAATTGGGCCGCTGTCCCGGGCCGCCTTGCCACCCAACAGGTGTCTGGCCGGCTCTACTACAATTGCCATCCATATGTACTATCTCCCTGGACGTACATGACTCGCTTCATGTGAGCTCCCCTCCATCGCCTCGCCATGTGCCGGCCCAGACTAACAGGGGCACCCTGGTCAATTCTCACTTCACGTGCCAACACAAACAGGACCAGCTCTTGCAGATCATGGTAGTAGTAGACAAATCGGCAACTCTCCAGGCTACCGGGGTCTTCCTAGCGGCTATGTATTAATGAGGGCACTAACGTTGCCAAATTGCGCATGCTCCGACGTCTTCCGAGCTTTGCGGTTGTCATACTGCAGCGATTTACACCGCATACGCGGCACCACATACAAAGCACCATCCACGAATGATGCGAGTCTACATGTGGTCCAGTGACGCCCAGTCGACTCCCTGTCGAGCACGTGCTTCGGGTATACTGCAGGAAAGAAGGTACTTCGATTGATGTGTCGTTGGCCTACTCAAAGAAAGCCATTGGGCTGGACTCGGTATGGTTTGGCAAATCACTTCCGTCTAACCTCCACGGTGGTACAAAGAATACGTGCCGCGAATTACAAGGCTTCAGTCTGTAAGGACGGCTTCTGCGTACTCAGAATGAGCTGGAGGTGGTGCGTCTCCGTCAGATATCGGAGCCGAGTAACAGATGAAATGTGTCCGATTGGCACGCACTTGGTGCTGAGGAGTCTCGTACTTCTTCATGTGCGCCATCAGAGGCGCAAGTCACCAGGCATCTCTGTTGCAAAGAGTATGCGCAAAAATGCCGGGTAAGCCAATGAGGTCTCAGACAAATCGGAGCAGGTGTGCTCATGCCATTCAAGGAAAGCAAGCTATGTAAGCCACGCACTTCCAAGCTATTACATGTGATGCGCTATGATATGGAGTTCCCGGCTTCCCGGACCTATCACGGGACATACTTATGCGCGTCTAGAAAGAATGCCTTATAAGGCCGCGGAATATGCAGGGAGACTGTCTGCCTGCCCAATCAAGCTACCGCGAAGTAAAGTGCTTACGTCGAGCGGGGGAAAGGTATCATACATAGGTAGCTTTGGTGCTAAAGCAATTGACGTGTGTCGTACGAGACTCAGCCGCAACCCCCCCTTTTTGCGTTCGGAATTCAAACTCCCGAGCCCGGGCATCTCGTCTCTTCTCCCTCCTCTGCCATTCAACGGCGCATCCACTACGTGATTTCGCCATTGCAGCAGTAGCGCACTAATCAAGATCACTCGGTATGACTGGGAGCGACATATTGGAAGTTGCATCCGCAGCTCCGCCTTGCCTTCATGGTATCTGATATGTCAGGCACTATTGCAGCAATCACACGAGCATTATTGGTTGGAAGCGCATACCATCCCGCGTGGGAGCGGAGAGCTATTTGCTATCTTCAACAGATGCTAGCAAAAGACAAACAATCGAGGGCCATCGGGCTGATGAGAATTTTCTCATGCGACCAGGACAACAGGCGCTAGGTTGACTTGGACTCATTAATTGCGCCTTGTCAACCTCGTATGGGAATGCGTCAGCGCTCATTTGTTTTTTCATCTATTAACACGAACCTTGCTACCATGGCACTCGCTGCAAGCGATTTGAGAGTGCTTTCTGAAGATTGAGATGCCATGGTGGCAAATTTTCAACATCCAAGTCATCAGGCGCCCATGCGGAATCGCCCAGTGCCTTCACTTGTTAGACCAGTCTTCATTGTTACGTTATCTCACGCCCAATCAGAGTTTGAAGCAAAGTGCCTAATTATATCTAGGTAAAGTTCAAATATTCAAAAACCATGAATGCACAGGATACCAGAGGAATAGATGGCTTCGGCTCTAAGAGCTCGCCAGGATAGCCATTCAAGATATGTCGATAGCCGTTTGATTTACTATTGCAAGTATAACCCGGCCGCTCCCCTCCCAGTAGTGCGTGACCGCAGCTATGTTGAGAATTGTCATCTAACGGCTAGACAGGGACAACGAGCCGGTCGTCGACCCCATCACTGGCCACCGGGGCACTCGACCTACGTCATGGCTCCTTAGCCCGCTCCCCAAGCACCAAGATTACGGCTCGCAGTGCTGGTGGGCCTGGCCGCAGCCATTTGTCCTGCCACCTCACTTCCTGCGGCCGGTGTCAGAGAATGAAGAGGAGCTGAAGTTTATCGTGGATTAGATAAACGACTTTCGTCTGAGAGTGGGGGTTCCCTGAAAGACAAGGGGCCGCTTTAGAAATGCCATTAGAGACTCTAGAGAGGCTTTCACAAGGATATGACGACGACTTTGTGTGATTCCTTGGCGAAAGTAGATGGCAGTTTCTTTCGAGATAGTGGAGTAGACGGCAAATTGCCATGGCTTTTCATCAGTTGCATGTTGGGTAGACTCAATGTACAGGGAAGGCAACAGACGCGGGCTGCCTTGCCGGCGGGGCTCTCTCCTCTGTTACCACCCTGACCTACGCAACGTCCTCTTCTTCCTTAGCCTGCTAGGGCAAGATATTACTCAGCAAGTCAAAAAAGGGTGTGTGCCTTAGCAGATATGGCAAAAGGAGGCGGTGACTAAGACAGATGAATGGATAGAGTAACTCGTCATACCGTTACACCTCGGGCATATCAGCTAACAAGCCCAGCTCTAGTTGTCGATGTTGCCCCTCATAGCTACCAGTACAGAGAACTCGCCAATAATTCAAAGACAAGGTCATCCCCAAATGTTGTAATAGTTGGATACTGACGCTGATGTGTATGAATCAATTGCTTGGGACAGCTTCACACAACTCACGAGCCGGAAAACCTTAGTTGAAGACGCGTACAAGGACACCAGAAATCACACACAACCGGAACCCCTGCCAAGTCCTAGATTACTTTGTATCATGTGGCAGCAATAGCACAATCACACGTGGCCGTCGCGCTGATCTTCCCAGACAGACTTCTCATTCTCCTCGCTCATTTGATAATGCAAAAACAGATAGCTTCTTTCTTTTTGCCACGTCAACCTTCTATTCCCCTGTTCCTTGTTGGCTCAAGCACTTCCCTCTTCCATTACCCACATCACTAGATCTGAATAAATTTCGAACACGACATGAGCAATCAACGTCGCTGCCACAAGACCCTAGGGATAGGTGCCGGTAGAACACAATATGCGGACGATTGTATTATTGATCCAGAAATCTGATCCAGAGAAGGCGTTGGGGAATTCCTTCGAAAGGGCGTCACCCATCAGAGCAGTGCTTCTGCAATGCCGTCAGCATAGGTAGGTCTCCCACCCGCCTCATAGATGCAGACATGCAGGTGAGCCCTACATCACCGCAGAGCCGCAATATTAATATAAGCAGCTAATCACCAGCAACTGATTGGCCCACGGCCAGTCAAACCAGCTTTTTATGCGCCTGTGTCACACACTGTCGGAGCCCCCTCCGTCAATCCTCCAATCCACTCTCTTTTTATTGTAACTCGTCGTTTGTGCCCATCATGTAAGGGAGACGCTGCGAACGCGAACTTTGACGACAGACTTCAGGCCGAGGGGCTTTGTTCGTACCCTGTATTCGTCAAACATCGTCCGATTGAAGCAGCAAAGAGCTTGCGCGTCAGCCGCAACCATGTTCCAGCCTGAACAGCGCATGTCATTCAACCCGGCACATCCTTTCATCACCGAAAAGAACCACTTCTGCCTCCCATCACATGGCCGGCAAATCCCCACATGCTGTACGCCTCTTGTTAATCACCTGCAACCGTCGCTCCCCTCCAAGCTCACTTTCCGTGGCTGATCCATCAAAGTCTCTCAAGTGGTTGTCTGCCCCCTCGAATCGACGGCTGAATTCGGCGGCTGGGGGAGACGGGCCGCCTCTTTCGCTATTGATGGTTTGGCCTCCCATCGTCTTCGACTCTGCTTGGCGTATGGCTCGTTATGAGTGTCCCCAAATTGTGATAACTGTTTGTCTACATTAGCGCGGGCCATTTTCATGGCCAAAGAACAACTGTCAAAGGCTTACTCGCTAGAATACTTATAAGGCAGCCAAGGCAACTCGTCACATGCCGTAGGACTCCAACGGCCCGTTTATGCCTTTGACAAGGAAAGTGGTTTCCTTCTGCATCGTTCTGTCGCCTCGTGAAGGATCGTGCTTCGTGTGATTTGGCAACGCAGAGGGCGGCTTGCAAGGCGTACTCGTACGTATGCGTGTATGGAGTATGTCTCCGCCCATTCACCCCATGATCCCATCATTGGCGACTCCCCTCGGTCCTTCAAGACCACCACTTTATTTCTGCACGTCCCATTGTCCCAGGGGATCTTCTTCTGTTACCCCCATCTCTTGCTGCTTGTCATAATATTCCCTTCCTCTGGCGGATTGTGACGGCAAAATCTCATCAGGGGTAAAAAGTAGAATGCTCGAGCAGTAGGCAATTGATTATTTTTTTGCAATTTTCATTGACGGTAAACTCATAAGCAAACCTGATCTCTCGACAGCAGGGAGCTCGAGGCATATGTGTGTGAAGAATCGTGCGGGTTCTACCTGGTGATGCAACGTGGCAGGGTAATGTGCGAGAGATACCGAACCCCCACCGTAATTGCAACTCGAGTTATCTATTCAGCCGCTATTTTCTTGTAAATCAAGTTGTATTTAGCCATTGCACAGATCTGATTCGTTGCGTGGAGACGTGACCCCTCTCGCATTGTCTCCTTATCATCTAAGCCGCCAGCCTCGTCCTGTCCAAAAAAGGGAGGAGATGGAGACGCGCAGAGTCACGAGGCCATCCTTTGCAGGCAGACTTCGTCGATAAGGGGAGCTTCTTTAGCCGATGACGAGATAGAATCAACAGTAGTCGGTGAGTTCTTGGCCGATCCTGCCAACCAACCGCATTAATCTGACGTGATCTAAGGAAACAATACAAGTTTATCATCATAAGCACATTGCAGCTGAAAACTTTTCCCAAATGCCAAGTATGCTTGCGTCATAAAGGGAGCAGATGCCTTACAGGCACCAGTTTGCCTTATTGCCTTAATGCGGCCACAACAGAGCGCAGACGTATAACTGCATCACTTATCCTGGCTGCCTGTTGCCTCGCATCCTGAAAGCTAGGGAAGCTATCACACTTTCGCTTGGCCGACGAACTAATGCCTCGCAGACGACCAACTCGGCTCTGTATGCCTTTTCTGATATGAAACGCTCTCCTGGCCCTTGTCCTCTCTTTGCGGATATGGGAGGCATACACAATGGGACCTTTGTATGGACTGGCCGTAACTGCTCCACCTTGCCGGAGGAGGCCGTTGCATCAACAGGCAGAGGCATTCTGGACCGAATTCCATGAGCAGCCACTGTTCATGGTCTCTGAAGCCCCAGCACATGGACCACTCTCGAACATAGCCTTCGCGAAACATGGTTCCTCTGATACCACATCCAAGGACTGGGATCTTCTTCTTAATTAGTTCTCACATTTGGGTTGATACTGCCAAGCCAATCGAGGCTGAAACTCTTTCAGCAAGTCCAATTCTATATCCCGCCTCTATCTTCAAGTGAGGACTTGAACGCAAGGAGCGTATTCACGACGCCACCAGTTATCCGTTTATTTCGTTTCCTTTTCTCCTTCTCGATATCCTTCTGAGGTTGGCTTTCCTTAGCTGGAGATCTAACTGTCCGATCTTTGCACTGGTTGGCTTAAAACCCTTGACAAGTCTTAGCACCCCACCGCCCGCCTCCAGCAATCGACTTGCCCAAGACCAACCGCTCGAACAAGACTTTCCTATATGCAGGTTATCCAAAAACGGCCCCTGCATATGCAGGATGATGCAGACGACCGGACGAAAAGACCGGAATGCACACACACTCCCGGCTTCGCCGACCCGGGCCGGTCTCTTGATGTTTGTTTCCGGCAAGCAATATCCGTGGGGATCTTCAGCCTTTGTCCTTATGAGACTTTGAGTGCATTAGTTCACTCTCAAAAGGAGAACTTTTGGGTCTTCAACAAAAGAGAGCCGAGAGGCATGCGCTCAATTCAAACTTTGCAAGATTTTTCCAGCCATCGCGGTATCGAAATAAACAATTAGGCATCTCATCTATCAGCTGAGAGTGCGAGTGGAAAAGATTTCTCCTGGCCGCATATGCTTTCAGGCCTATTGTATATACTGTTTTCCCTGCTCCATGTAAGTTGAGGTCTGACATACATGCCAGCAAAGCAGACGATACTCTTCTTCGATGTAACATAAGTTCGTTTGTTTTGATGCTGAATAAAACGCGCATCCACATCTACACAATGATCCTCGGTGGCTTAATTGAGCTATGTCATTCTAGGTTGCGTAACATGGCCATTTGTGGCTCGGTGTAGAGCCGCGCAAGCTCCAAGGACATCAATCCCCAGCCCAAAGTCCTACGGATAGGCCCGCTATCACTGGCGTATTTCTTTCACATCAATGACTGTGACTGTCTTGTCCAAGAGCCTCTCTCCTTATTATGGTCCCATTGTGTCAATCTCAGAATCCAACATCCGCATAGCTCTGTGACGGGTGGTTCGAATATGTTTCCGAATCACTGTAACCCCGGATGCTTCGATAGAACTAGCGTTTCCCGAACAATACCCCTGACATGAAGAGGAGTGGCAAATGTTGGGGTAGTATCAGCACGTCACAGGAGAGCACTGGTACTTGCACTTTTGCCCAAATGCCAAAATGAAAAAATGGCTCTGCAGTAATGGGGTTTAGCAAGAAAGTGTCATGCTACCCCTAGCATCTCACTTCCATATGCAAATATTGACGCAGTAGACAATGTCCATCGAGGAACAATAACTGCCGATCACAATTGCCAACCTAAAAGTTCCAAAGCCATGTTTAGCTCCGCGGCAGCTCCGGTAGCTCGAAGAAAGGGGGCCGTTACCTGTACCTGAAGAGAACCACACACCATAAAAAGTATGCATGAGGTAGTCAGCAGGTGTGGTCGTTACAACGAGCCGCACGTTAGGTCCTACTGCTGCTTTCACCGCAGTTTTCACCCGGCAAGCAGGTCCAATCTATCTGTGACCTAGCAGTCCCAAACTTCAGCCGCGTGCACTCTATTTTCAGGACTTGAATTTTTATATCTCAACATTCACCCCTTGTGCATCGGGTACAGATTCCTGGAAATCGTCATGTGGCTGCTTTGCTCCCACATTAAGTAAGAAGATCCGCGCCTGTCAGTACCCAGGGTTGGCCAAGCTATGGTACCGGTCGTCAAGACCGGCCCCTTTGTGATGAGCCCAGGTGTGTGCCTCGTGGTGATGGTGTCAAACTTGGTGATAAAAGGCTCCGCCATCTCAAGCCATTCAAAAGATTTTGCTTGTATTATCATCTTCCTTCAATCATATAAGCAACTTATTTACAGTGCCCCTAAGGTTATCCATCTGTCTCATTGACTCCTCCGTCCAACTTCTCGCAGCGGCCAAATCATTCACAATGTCTTCTCGCAGCGCCAACTACTACGGCAACTCCAAGTATGAACCTTTCCATTCATATCTTCTTCTCATCTGAATAGCTCAACCTTCCGACTCCGTCCACCAGCACTCTACCCATCAAACAGTGAGACATATACTAATGAGACGCAGGGACAATGACACCCACGGTGCCCAATCTGCCACTTTCCGTCACGTTCCCGACAGCCCATCCTACAACTTGGATCGCTTTGCACTCGGCCAGCCCCAATCGCGCCCTCCGCCAGGTTTGAGTAAAAAGAAAGCCGAAGCTAAGGCGGTAGCCCAGGCAGAAGCCCGCGCCTCTGCCCTCATACGCGCATTCGATACGCGCTTCAACAACGCCAATCGACCTCCAAAGCAATAAGCCGGTATGCGCGTACCAACCCGTGCCACTATGCATATGAACACTACGATTTGGGCATCAATCCCGGGCTGCGCTATAAGGGGTGAACCAACACCGGAAGCGCCGCGGTGGTAGCCTGCGGCCCTGTTAAGAGACGGACCGATACTTGATCTTGAGGGTTAAAGAGGCTGTGTAACTTCTGTCGGTCTTCGTCGCGGGACCGAAACAGCAGAGGTGCCCGAGAAAGTCTAGAGGAGACGAAGAAGGGGACAAAGGGTAAAGCGAATGGGGCGCAGACACGCAATTGCCGGACCGAGGGGGTAGCGGCTCGTTCCGGCGACGGGAAGGTTGGCATCAGAGACCTTCCCCTGTGGGAGATGAGGCTGAAGGAATATTGAACCAATGAACGGGAGGGAGTGCGGGTGTTGGAGGGAGTGAGACCAGACTTGCATGAGGGTGTGGGAAGAAAGGGCCTGTAAGGGGATAGACCAAAGGATGCATATACGACATGGTGCATACACCGGTCAGCGTAGGTGGTGAACAGGCAGCAATATAAAATCTTGAAGCGGTATTCTTGTACATTCCTATGCAATTGCCTGGTTCAGCTGCGAATTATATAAAAATTGCAAGTTGATCGGTGATATATCGCCCAATTGCATTTGTATGACAGAACGAGAGCATCTACGAAGTGACACGAGTATGCGATTTGCGAATATCCTATTTCGAAATTATCGGCAGCTCACAAAGTAGCTTGTCAGTAGCATGAGTCCCTCCAGTCAGAAGCGGCTCCCACAATTCGGCTGCATGCATCCCAACGAGGCGATGCAGCCGATGAAGCATCCGAAAGGGGTTGCATCAGCCTTGAATCCAGCCATGTGGTGTGTGTAGCCTTCATGTAGCGAAAGTGCACACCATCTTTCAACGATTAGATAAGCGTAATTGGTTTAGTGGTAAAATTCTCCGTTGCCATCCGCAACGTCGGGGAGCCCTGGGTTCGATTCCCAGATTACGCATTTGATCTTCCTTTTTTCCCATCATTCGATTTCATTTTGCTTTTTTTCCTTTTTTTTATTTCCCTTTCACTCGGTTCTATTTTTTTCAATACTAATCAACTTAATTCAAATCAGCGGTGGCGATGGGATGCGCAGATTCCTGCCTCTTCAGGGAGTCATCACCTGTGTTAGCGACAGTCGCAGTCCGTGTGTTGCTATTAAGCCGTTCAACAGCCCAAGAGGGTTTTCCTGTACGCCAGATCAGCCCTAGAGTTCCATTTCTGACTGAAAAGCTGAATTCTGCTGCCATGATGCAAAGAGGTCAAACACCTGCAGGGTTCCACCGCGGTGACCCGCCCCCGACCGAACCGAGTCCCACAACCGCCGTCCCATCACACGCTCAGCACAATCGCACATGCTTCAGGCCTTCTACCAGATGTAACCAAGACACAATCCATCCTCTTACAAAACGTGCAATACGCAACATACTCATGATACCTAAACGGCATGTTCAGCACGGTTCCCAGTATGACGACGTTGGAGTTACTCCACCTCGCTACGGCCTTCCAAGCCCCCGGACCCGGAAGCTAGACCAGCCAATCACTGTCCTCACCGTTGCCCAACTGGGAAGTAAACATGGAAGCCCCCTGCTCTTCCTTTGACTTAGTAATCTGTGTTTAGCAGGCACCAAGACACATTTACCATCTCCAAAGCTTTATTGACGAAGCGTTGGTGATGGTGAGCATACCCCAGTCTTCTTTAGAGAGCATCATGTCTTCGGCAAAACACAATCCATCCAGGAGACAAAGCGCACGAACGGCGTCCTGTTCTCCTAAACGTCGTTTCGTTCTCCGAAGTGTCGTCTTGCACAGCATTATTTGTGTGCCAAGCACGAAAACGCCAGATCCTAGTAGGAAAGACACAGGATCCATACAGATCATAACCCTGTCTCACGACCGCACTCCAACTGTAACAGCGACGAGTAGCTATATTCCTCCCCGCAACATACCTGTAGGCATCGACAACTAGAATATAGATAGAGTGCCCGATCCGCCCGCACCAGACATCACCAGAACACAATACTTTCTACGCAGGATCCTTAACGGCCACTCGGACCTACAATTATCACCCCGAGTGCCAGTAAATTCCATAACTATAGTCCGACATATAAGCAGCGTCGCCTTTAAGCCGAGATCACAGCAGCTGAAGTGCAACAACGCGGTTTTTTCACTTAACCACACGGTATCTCTGCATAACGTTACTGCTCTGGAGTGTTTAAGTCCAGCCAGCATTGCATCCGCATCTTAACTCCTCGCCAACGTTATAAAATTGTTGAAGTATAAGCCTCAATAGTCTCCTCGGCTTGAACCTTTTTGTTTTCAACAGGTTATGAGCCCGGATAGTCTAGCGGATAACACTCTCGGCTAAGTCGCGTAAGACGCCTTAGACGAGAGGTCCTGTGTCTGAATCGTCTTCGGTGCCGCTTAGCGACCCTGCGCAGATTTTGTGACCTTGGAGCGTAAGAGACCGGGAGCTTAAAGTCCCCGCCGTGCCGTGTAAAGAGCCTGAGATTACAGAGCCTATTGAGCCAGCGGGAGTGTTGAAATATAAGCCTCAATAGTCTCCTAGGTCTGAACCTTTTTGTTTTTAACAAAAATCAAGTGTATATAGTCATACTTAACCTGCATAGATTCTTCACACGACTCTCATCGGCGTGATCACGGCAGTGTCTCCAGAAGTCACCATATTTGATGCCCTGCTTTGGGCCGAGCGCTTTCTTCCGCGTCCTGGCTTTCGGCACCCTGAACGCGTCAGTATCAGAACATATGATCGACGCTCAACAGTTTCATTCATCGAAAGATGGTTGCTCGAGAATCATTGACGGTACATTACGCGCTTTCAGAGATGGTATGCAAAATATCGCCAACCGTCACGAAGTTCAAAAATTATCTTTTCATCGCCCCATAGACAATGACCAGAACCTCTATCCCAAGAATCTTGAAAAAATTGCAAGTGGAAGAAATGTAGTAACGTAGGCAGAAAGCAGCTCATCTAGCAAGTTATCTAACAACATCTCACAGAGGCGCGTAGATGGAACACGAGGATTCCTCAAACCGTGTCCACTATATCACAAACAGCCATCATCAAATTAAAAGAAGAAAAGTCCTCCTATTTCTAGCTGGTCTATAGCGATATATGCTCCATTCTATCTCTACGTGTCCCGCACTCAGTTCAAAGACAGAAAGGCACAAGCCACAACGGCATGCAACACACCAAGCAAACACAGCTCAAGCCACCCTAAGGAACTATGCAGAAGATATGAGGTCGAAACAACACCAAGTGAGCCCAGAAACGGCCCTTGGATGAAGGTATAAAAGAACCGAAGAAACCGCCCAAAAACCAGCAACGCCAAGGAAAGAATCGCCAATACATGCTCACTTAATCAATCTTCACCCTTCCCTTCACCCTCCACTCATGCCAAAACGACGGACTCTGCTGCGCCCTCGCCGGCCCGCTCAGCCACGCCCTGCATGCCAGGTACTTGGCATACTCCTTGGGCTCAGACGGGATGTGTGCGTCACAGACGTCAAGCAAGCTCCTCTGGTCCGAGTTCCGCACGTCCACGTTGGCTCCCGCCATGACCAGCGCTTTGGCAGCGAGCTTTCGGTGGAAGCGCACGGCAACGTGAAGCGCCGTCTCGCCCCTCTTGTTCCGCGCATTGACGTCGGCCCCTCTCGAGACCAGGAGCTGCAAGATGGCCGGCCCAAGCTTGTACTCGTCCTCCTCCGGCAGCGCCGCGGCAAAGGCCATGAGGGGGGTGTTGCCAAACATGTTCCGGTGATTCGGGTCTTGTCCGGCATCCAGCAAGGTCTGCAGCGTCTCGTATCGAAATCGCAGACTCTGCTCCGACGAATCCATTGCGGTTTGATGACTGGGAACACGAAAGTCCCCTGTTTCCATATCCAAGTCATGCCTCTCGGCCAAGCTTCCCACGCTCAGCGGAGCCATGGCAAGGCAGTGGAGGCCATTGTTGCCGCACCTATCCTCATGGAAGCGGTTGGCCATCGACACCCTGATGTTTTGCAACAATTGACTGTCCTGCGATATTGCCGGATGATCACTCCTCCCAGGGTCCAGGGCGCGGTCCGGTACTGTGTTAGGATCAATACCCAGTACACGTTCTCTCGGAACACTGAATGGTACCAGCGAGTCTGTCATACAGGGCCCGACGGGTGGTATGAACCCAAATGCATCGCGCTGAAGATACTCGCGAGGATCAAGGTCATACAGGCACCTCGCGTGCACGGCCTTGCTCAGCAGGGTGAGAGAATGCAAAGAAGAGCGGCCAAAGCAGTCCCTTGCGAGCAGGTTGAACCCCAAGGCCTTTGCGGCTTCTATGAGCTGTGACAAGCGTGCATCATCCAATACACCTTCGTCATCCCTGATGAGGTGCATGAACGTCTGCCCGGCTGTGTTTTGAACATTGACGATGGCGGCAGCGGCACCGCTGCTGAGAGCTACATACAACGCTTGGAAGTCCCCGCGAGCTGCCAGGAGATGCAGCACGGTATGTTGGTAGCAGTCCCGCCGGTGAATGTCCTCTTGGGTCAGAGGCGCGAGGGGAATGGCAGCAGTACGAAGCGGTGGTCCCCTGAATGTCGTCCAGTCGAAGTGCCGTTGGTGTCTGTAAGCCCCATCCTCCCGTGTAGGCATCACACCGGTATCACACCCAAACGGGGCAGAACGATTGGGGTATAGCAGGCTTCCGGGCAAAGAAAAGTCCTTGAAGGTCAAGTCCGTCGCCTCGGGATCGCCAATCCAGTCCTTGTCCCACACCACACGCGGGCTGTGGTGGCGCGACATGCCCGGGCGATCAAGTGACAGTGAGGTGAATCTCTTGACAAGTCGCTTTACGACTTTGATGTATGGCTCTGCGCGTCCCCTAAGGTGGTTTCTGAAGGTGCCCGTGGTGTTTGCGCTTGAGTCGGTCAAGCAAGTTGTCTGGCGGAGGAACTCGGCAAAGCGCTTGTCGTGCGGACGAGCGCCTGCACAGTCGTCTCTGTTGTCCCAGCCGTGGCTGACGCTTTGTTCTGGGATGAGGTCGTTTGAAAAGGAGTAACCAGACTCTTGAGACTCGAAGACGGGATCACTGCCGAAGACAGTTGAGCCGGAGCAGGCATCACTGGGAGATGCACTGGAAGGCCTTGACGGGGCCCCCCAACTGCATCCAAGAAAGTCGCTTCCACCGTACAGCGGTGATTGCTCTTGGCTCCGATGAGGAGACGGGAATCGCGCCTCTTGCGCCAAACGAAGCTGGACCGGCGAGTTGGCTAGCTCGGTAACTCTCCGCTCCATGTCGTCTTCATCGCGCGGGTGAAGCCATCGCGGCTCTTTATCGAAGAGCAGCTGGAGCCTCTTGTTGGCCGAGCTCTGTCTTTTGTAGATGCCAAACATGTCAGTGACTTGAGCCTATATGGTCTCTCTTGTTACAGCCAGCAGCTGGCAGTGATGTTACACCCTCTTGCATGCAGCTTCTCGTACAGGTGCATGCTGCTGCCTGGGCATGTCTCGACTCACTTGATCGTCCTATCGGGAGACAGCGCGTTGACGATGGCCCGGATCTTGTCAACCGGCAGCGTCGTGAACAGGTAGAGCCTGGCCATCTTGCGCTGCGCAGACCAGGACCATGTTGCGGGACGGCCATTTGGGCTGATCGGCTGATTGCTGGGCGACGCCGACTGCGATGGAATAACAAGCAAAGGCCGTCCGCTCATGGCTCGTAGCTCGAGCTCGGATCAGTGCAACAGCACAGCACGTTTGTCGACGGAGGAGTTGGTCCGAGTGTTGGTTACAGCAGTGAATCGAAGACAGCAGAGACAGCGGCAGATTGAGACAAGTCGAGCAACGGAGCTGCCGTGCCGCAAGTCGCATAAGAGGCAAAGTGTTGGACGCATCGCAACATGTTGGTTGGAGATGGCGGCTGCCGCCTATTTGAACGAGGTGAGCGAAGGCGGAGCAGGCAATCAAGTGACCGGCAAAGAGGGAGCATGTCTGCAGGCTGCTGGCATCGGACTGGCCTCACCGTCGGCCACGATGCATCGCTCCAGTCCTTTGCAGCGGCCTTTCCCACACTTTTGTTGTGTTTGATGCAGTGTTGCAGCTCGGCGCACAATGATTGGCGCTGTTCTGTGGCTGTGCTATACGTCATGACCGAACGTGGTCTCGATTTGGGTGTGGCTTTTCTGCCGCTGTGCTTCTGCATCTGTAACATCAGGCAATCCCGTCCAGTGTCGAGTGTGGCGGAGCGGCCAGGACGCCGAAGGTCTTGGGATTAAAGATGCCGCTTCCTCCCCGCGACTTTTACGGCCCCCATTGCAATGCCAGACTTTCCACGGCACGGCAGTCGATGATGTCTTTGCTGCCCGAGAGCGAGGCTCGAGTTGCATCACTCAACCCACATCAATCATCAAGCCGAAGCGCGAGTGCGGGCGGCTCAAGTTGCATCTGTTCAGTTTGTTCAATTGCATCTCCATCGGTAACTGCTTCGGTCAGCAAGGCTCCAAGGCTCCCAGGCTCCAAGGCGGCAAGGCGTCAAGGTGTCAAGGCAGCACCCTACTATTACCTAAGGCAACCAAACCCAATTTCATCTTCGTATGTCTCTCTTTTCATCTTCATCTGCACAGCATCACGAGAGATGCATCCGCACAATTCACAATCACAAAGTGCCAATACTATTACTACTACTATTTTGCACAGCAAAACTCACTCGCCAGGGCCACAAGTCTAGAACAACTGGAAGCAGCCCAGACAAGGCGACAGGGCACCTCAGCACCCCGGCCAGGCCGCAAAGTCCCCTGGAGGCCGCTCTGCCCGCGGTACAAAGGCACGCATGTCCGTACTGTGACCTACACCTTATTACCGCACAAGCGCAGCTGCATCTCCAGTCCCCTGCATGACATTCCAGTTTCAAAAGCATGCGAGGTGCCGGTCTCCAGAAGTCCACTTTTTGAACGAGGACACTGGCGCAAAAGAGGCAATCGGCCGACTGACGTGGGTGCGAATCAAGAAAGAAGACTGCAAAAAAAAAAATTCATACCGTGCAATACGAGTTATTAATCTATTTGTACAAAGTGCGAACCAAAGCCCAAGCAAGGATCACAGAAGAACCACGCGAAACTCCAATTTGGAAGGCACCCGCTTGGGGAAGGCCGGCTGTGCCTGGATGTCCTGCTCCACACTACTATACGGAAAGGGAAAACGAGAGGTGCCTGTAAAATAAGGGACAGGGCATGGTGGAAAGGGGGTTCCGTTGCGTGATGAATTGCTCGCATTATTACTGAGACTGATGAGCAGGAGAAGGACTCGCCGTGACTCGTATGAGCTGCAGCAACGAGGGAGCGAGCGGTGAAGACGGCTGAGGCCGGCCTACGGAATGCGGTTAGAGAGAGATGGACAGAGGGAGTTCTCGCTCATCAGCTCGGGTACCTGGTTGTCGTGGTTCAGGCCCAGGCACAGGCACAGGTACAGACACGGTGTGTGTGTGTGTCCAGCCTCGCACATGGCGTCTCAGCTAAAACAACCTGATCGATCATCGCGCATGGCGCTGCCGCCGTCCGCCACGTCTCAACACAACCCGCCCTGCCTAGAATCGTCGAGCGTCGCACTAATCCACTGGCCCGATCGCATCTTGATCAGCAGCAACACACACTGTTGACACTCACACACACAAGCTCAAAAAGACAGTGCCGAAGACGCCGAGCAAGCGTCGCTGCTAACCCCCCTTTCGTCCAAGTCCCATAGCCTCCTCCGTCCGTTCCCCCCTCCACCACGTCTAAAAACCGAACATGCCAAAGCTAGATGCCACAAGCAAAACTAGCTCGGTGCAAAGCAACGCACCAATGAGCGCCACATCCGACATCCCGCGCGCGCACAACAACTTGACAGGAGAAGGGGGCTCTGAGCAAAAGATGCAAAGTGGGGACCTCCATCAACCAGAAACTCGCACACCCCCCAGTCGTTGCCCCTGGGCAATTTGGCTAACGCACCCCCAAAAACCGGGGCAGAAGCACATCCACGATTTTCGGCGCGCACGGAGAGAAAGGGATCTTCCTTTCGTACCTGCAGCAAAGGGCCTGGTGGGAGTGACAGTCTCCTGCATATGTGGCTTGCTTTGCTGCTTGCTTCTTTCCAAGCTTGTTGGTGAACCCTGTCTTTGCATTCCAAGGAATAATCCGAACAATGTACTCTACAAACTTCGTACAGTGCCTCACGGCTCTTTCCAAGCTTGTTCGGTGAATGGAATCATGAGCAGATAAACAATCCAAGCAAAAGGTCAGCTTACCAACAACAGATTGACCTTTCCCCCATCTTCCGTTTGTCGAGACTCTCCCCATGCCCGACGCAATTCCCACCTTTCAATGATCCCATCCGTGCACGGAACTACCCAAATCCGTCTGATGAACTTCAACACCTTTCATAAAAAGCAAATTGAATCGCACTTTTTCTTCCAATATGTACATATAGCAGAGCAAACAAACATGAAGCTCAAAAATCTCTCAGAGGCGGGGGGAAAAAAAAGTAAAAGGCCCCAAACGGGATGGAGTGTTTGTTTCATCCCATTCTTTGACCCAATTCCCCTCACTTTTTACTCCTCGCCACGCCGAAACTCTCGAGCCTTGCCGAACCGGGTAAAGCCGAAGAAGCCGCGCGGTTTCTTGTTTCAACTGCTTCTTTTGTTCCCGCTTTCACGTGTTGTGTTGTCTTAGTTGTACACACTTTTAGTGGTACCGTACCCAATAACTGGGGAAGGCTTCTTCACGGTGTCTTAGACACCATGACACCGAATCGTAGGCACAAGCGAGAGATCTGAAAGGGCGCATTGTAAGACATGATTCAAGAGATCATGGATTTGTGTTGAAGATGAACTCACAGATAATACCAGACTGTAGTTAAAGATCGAACAAGTTCAGACTCATTGGGGAAAGAGATAAAATATTCAGCGTGCCCAAACTTCAGTCACGAGTCGTCACGGAGGTTCAAAAGAAGGTAATTTACACTGCTATCCCATTCAAACTAATATAAAATAAAGAAAATAAAAATGGTTTTCGTTACCATTGTAACCTTCCAGATGTCCAAATCTAGCGGACCTGGCGGCTGTATAGAATAAAGCAATAAGAAATCCAGCTCTAAATCATACTATTTACACGTTTCTGAACATCGTGAGAATGACTCCCACGTGTCAATGCTCCAGACCCAAAAACACACTTTAGCTTATCCTGTTTACAAAAGGAAGACTGCAGCAGCGGCCAGGACGGCGAACATGCTGCCACCAACACGGCCAGCAGAGCTGACGGGAGGAACGCCGCTAGGGACGCCGGGGTTACCACCAGCCGGGGGACCGGCAGGGTTGGTGCCGGAAGGAGGAGCGGGGGACACAACCGGGGGGTTAGCCGGGGGAGTGTACACCGGGGATCCGGCCGGGGCAGTGCCGACGGGAGCAGGAACAACGGGAGCAGTTCCAGCGGGAGGAGGAACGGCATAGGGAGGAACGGCCGGGACGGCAGGAGCTGAAGGAGCAGGAGCCGAGGGGACGGGAGCCGAGGCAACGGGAGCCGAG